ACGATGCAGCTGCATCCGCCCTTGTCCCATCCTCACGTTTCTAAGGGGCTATTGATATGTGGAAAAGTCACGTCGAAGGGGGTCCGGTGTTCTTACCAGGTTTCTTTCTCGTTTTGAAACTTGGACATTCAAAATTGAGTGGATGAATTTCACAGTTGCCATCCCCTGAAAAGATACGATCTAAGTCAGAATCAACCCAAGTCTGTGTGTGCCGCTACTCTACAAACCTCCCAAATGTCCCACACTCTTGCTAATGCATGCTTAAGTACACACACTGTAATTCAAAGGGTGAGGCATCTCACCAATTTTCGGCGATACAGAATGTGTCACCGAAAAAAAGGTCGTTCACGAATATCCCACCGAAAAAATGGTCGTACACAAATGTATCACCGAAAAAAAGGTGCGAAATTGGCCCTTGTTTTCCTGGGAAGTATCACTCTTTGTTCGGTGATACATGTGTGTACGACCATTTTTCCGGTGATACATTCGTGTAAGCTTACAACCTTTTTTTCGTTTTTTTCGGTGAGACAGTTATGTCTTACCCCCTCAGAGAGTGAGATGTATCACTATTTGATTTTCAGTGCACTTACAAACGCATGCTTGACGAGTACGTACCTGCAAACGCGGAGTTATACGGCGCCAAGCATGAGTATGTGTACTTGCCAAGCATGAATTTCAGCGGCCGTTGGGCTGGGCATAAGGGCGTAAGTCACATGGGGAAACCATTGAAAATAGGTTGTTCTCTCCGATGACCACTAAATTTGTAAGTGTGTACTTCTCCAAGCATGCGTCTGTAAGTGTGTACTTGCAATCATGCAAGTTTGTACCAAGTAGACAGTTAGGTTTGTATATGGATGCAGCAATGGAGCTTCTTTTTCAACGCCCATTACGTCCTGGCTGGGTGTGGAGATCGGCGACAAGTCGAGGGGTCCTATTCAAAAGATCTTATCTGGGCGTTTCCCCCAAGACAATCTTATCTTAAACGCAGGTGAATTTCACATAGTTTGATCATTTGGTACAGCTACATATCAATATAATTTGTGAGTTTGTTCAAGTAAATCTAAAGACGGAAGATCAACGAAACCAAAAGTGCATTTAGATATATGTTTTGCTTACCGTTGTATTTATTCTGATTGATCAAAATGAGTGAAATTTGCCAGCGTTTAAGATAAGATTGTCTTGGGGGGAACGCCCAGATAAGATCTTTTGAATAGGACCCCTCGAAGTGGGAAGCCACGCAAACACTGGTAAAACTAAAGCGTACCCACTGTTTTCAAGCGTAATCAGTTTACGCTTGAAATCAAGCGTTACTGGCTCATCCGCCAAGATTTCCCCTATCTAAATGCATGGGGGAATTTCTAGCCTATGCTTGATTTCAAGCGTAACGTCTTCAAGCGTAACTTTATGCTTGACTCAAGCATAAAGTTACGCTTTAGTTACCAGTGAAGTCATATGGTTCTCCAAAACATGTAAACAGTTTTCAGTGGGAAGGAGCTTTATCCCAACGGTTCGGGTAATGTAAAGAAGGAATATGAACATTGTTCACAAAGCCTGTCTGAACAATTGATACATTTGAATATTTACAGGCATTGTGCCATAACCACTGCGATAACCACTGTCTATATTTTGCAATAAAAAACTTATTACATTTTTTTGCTACGATGACAACTAAAAATCTGCAATAAAAAATTTATGGCTAAATTTTGCAATAAGAAATCACTTTTTTGGGATAATGACTACGAAGAAAATGCAATACAAAGTTATCGCAGAAAAACGTGTGATAAAAGTTACTACATCGCTACTTTCATCGCAAAAATTTGTAGTAAAGCTATCGCAAAATGAATGACAGTGATAGGGTATTTTAATGACTCTATAGACCAGAAGTAAAAGAATAAAAAAAAGGAAAAGTCAACTTTGGCGTATGCGCAGAATCGATTCAATTCATACTTTTGTATTTTGACTTCCGGTTTCAGGGATTGGTCAAAATGCCTTATTGTCTCTCCCGATTCCTTAGAATTAACAGAGAATAACTAAAATTCAACATGGCGCCGCCGGAGATGTGGGCTGCAAATAAGCAGTCACTGTTGGATTTATTCACTGCTAATTGAAGTGTGAGAATTGTTTGACACTGCGTCAACCTCATCGCTCGCGGTTGGCACCAAGGCGCCACAGTTCCAGGTGCGAGACAATCGTGAGATCACTCTACAAACAAGGTAGGTGTACGCCAGACTGTGTCTTGTCGTAACAGGCTTCGCGATGCTGCGCCAGTTTCGACAATCCACGCCTGGCGTACCTACCTTGGCCTGCGTCGCTAACCTGCCTTCGGCAGGCTGCCTTCCGTGGCAGACTGTAGGAATGGGCGTGATCCCCTCAAAAAGAGCATTTGGTCATCAAAATCTACACTAATGGGGCTAAACTTTCGGTCGGAGGTTTGAATGGGTTCTATTTTCGTCATCAGCAGCCTCCAAAACATTTAAAACGACATTGAACTTGACAAAAAATTGAAAGTTCCAAAAAAGTTGTCTTTTTCCTGCCGTTTTTAAAGTGTTTTTTGGATAATATGACCTAATGGATTGAGACAGAAAGCTGAATTTTGGTGTGTGGCGAGCCAAGGATATGCCCAATGACCCTGCAAAATCTCAGCAGAATCGGCCGAGCCGTTTGGGAGGAATAGTGCGGACACACAGACACACACACACACAGACAGACAGACAGACATGAAAAACTTTTCAACCCCACTGGAGTAACAGGCTTCGCTATCGCTCAGCCAAAAATGTCCTGTCAACGCCGTTAATTTATTACCAATGTTTGCTGTTATGCAATTCACGGCGTTTGCTGTGAAATAGTTCACGGCGTTCACTGTGATCTCGGTCACAGTGTTCACTGTGATCTGGCCACAGTGAACACCGTAAACTGGAGCCTGAATTGCAGTACTTCGGTGCTCAGCGGCGTCAAACTCACAGTGTTTACTGGGGACCAGATCACAGTGAACACCGCGAACAAGATCACAGTGAATCCCGTGAGCACATCACAGTAAACGCTGTGAATTGACCTACAGTGAAAACTGGTAATAAATTAACGGCATTGACAGGACCGAGGGGGAAAGCACTCGCGTAATAGTCGGGTCACTCTCTCCGTAATAACACGCGTGATAGTGTGCGTAATAGTAGCGTAATAGCCGAATTCTCAAAATTTGATATACTTTAGAGGTTTTTTGGTCTGTTTTTAGCTAAATCCCCATATTTTCAGGCGTAATAAATAGTCGGGTCGCAGGTTTTAAGAGTGATTTCCCCCTCGGACAGGACATTTTTGGTAGAGTGATTTTGGTATCTCACGCTTTCAATTGTGATTACACGCTAAATGTTTTTGTCCAATTTTGTACGCGATGATGCAGATTTTAAACCTGTGTACGCTTTGCATACAACTGCTCAAATTTGCATAAAATTATGCATTTTTTCGCAAAAAATTATTTGAATTTCACGTTTGCTCAAAATCGTGCAAGTTACACGTTCAAAATTGCACAAAAACATTAAGTATAATAATATCACTGTTATTCAACAAATGTGACGTCACATTCGTTAGAATGTGAATTTTGTCACGTTCGTTTCAATGTGATGTCACATTCGTTGAATAACAGTGATCTTTGGGTTCTCAGAGCTTTCAAGCGGACGAGGGCTCATGCGCTCAATTCCTCCTTTCTCAATGAATTGGGAAAGCTGCCATGAGGTGTCATTGCTCGCGGAAGGTCGTGTATCTCTACGCTTGACACCGTGACTAATAGATACGATATTCTCCGTCGCACAGTCCGTTTGACGCCGAAAAACTTCACTTTGGAATTTTCCGTCATTTGAAAATTCCGTCATCGTTTTCACTCGTTTCACGTCTATAATACCCCTGAGACCTACCAACGAATTTCTCCTATAGGAAATACCAACACTGATTTTCGAAGTGTAATAATGAACTAATTTAAAAAGCAATAAAATTTTTATTGCATTAGTAGCGCTATGGAAAAGTTATTGAATTATAAGTGCAATAATTATTTTATTGCATTAGCGCATTACTAGCGTAGTTATCATTTTATCACACCAAAACTGTGATAATCTGGGCCCAGACTGGCCAAAACCTGGGTAACTTATTGCATTTTTAATGCGATAATTTTTTATTGCTGCCACAGATGCGATAATTTGAAGGAATCACATTAGCCTTTTTATCGCAGCAAATTGTATGAAACTTATCACATTAGAAATACCAGTGAACAAAAGGTCATTTTGTTCCATTTCGTGCAGTGTAGTCAAAGCTGAATTCGACCGAGAACTTCAGTTCATCCTAAAATATCTGGTTATTTTGACACGCCCCGTCTCTGAAAACAGTTGGAGCTAGAGGGTTCAAATTTTGCAAGTTAATCATGTTCACGACCAGTTCTGCACACCAAATGGGGGGGGGGGGGGTCGTCGTCACGACTATGGTCCCTTCCGTACTTCCAAGCACGGCAAGTGCCGCTTATAAATTAACAGCCAAAACCGTACCTTTTTCACTGAAAAAACAAATGCGGAGAATTCCGCATTTGAAATGCGGTTAAAGTAAGTGACCGCATGAAGTGATGCGGTCACCTGAATAGCCAGGATTTTGATGCAATTTCACCGCAGGAGTCATGCAGTGTAAAATTTAACCGCATTTCCTGATGCGGTTTCCATTTTGACCGCATGAACTGATGCGGAGTCCTACATTTCATGACAGCTAAACAGCTAGCGGCTGCTACCAACTTTCCGTCTCTTACTGGACAACCAGAAAAGGATGGCATGTACTGTGCCTTCTCATTTACTTCTGATGCTTATCATTGACTAACCAACACATACCTTTGACGTTAATTTTTGTAACGCTGCGATGAGTAAATATCCTGTGTTTGAAACAGCAAGCCACGGAATAATAATTTTGTCTGTATAAAATGTTGATTGACACTGGATATTGTTCCAAATGCAGTATCAAACTATTGTTATTCATCACTTTAAATTATTTTTAGCCTCAAACTTCTTGGTGATAGCATTACTAGTTTCCATGAGCCAGGCTATGCTGTATGCAGGTAAGGTTAAACCCGCCGGCTGCTTGACTGAAGAATTGTCTGTGCTGCTGTATTTGAACAAGTCAACGCACACGACGCACTACAGCATTTCTTTGATTGAGGTTATTTCATAATTTCAGGGTCTGAGTCATTCCAAACCATTGTAAGAACTTTTTTAAAGGAATAATCTTTCAAATCATACTCTGACACTGTCACACACAATCAACAACAAAATAAATAAGATAAACAAAAACAAAGGAGTGCCAACATAAGAAAATAACATCATATGAGTCAGAAAGTAAACTATAAAGTTGTTCTTTTGTGTGAGTCGTTCATCAAATTTTAAGCTTTAATAAACATACCATTCCCTTAAAAATCCCTAATATACATCCAAAGTTGGCTTTACTTTAACGCTAACAGGCTCTCAAGATCTTAGGTTGGCCCTACCATCTTCTTGTTGTTAGGTTTGTTTTGTTGTTCACTATGAAAGTGTGTGTCTTGAACTTTCTTTGTGTGAAAAAAACGAATTTTCAATAGTTGTGGATGTTTCAAAGCATAACTGTAGTAGATCGCGCGGGTAGGGTTAAATAACCAGCAGGTATTAAATAAACGTCACTGTATTGAAATCCGTCAAGAGCAATACATGGCCCACCCGGTTGCCGCTCTGCGATCCTACTGACTACTGTACAAGCAAGGCCTACCCGAGATGGTGGGGGAATAGACCGGGAGTGGGGGCAGGCGGCGTTGCCAACCTTCACATGCCCAACATCCTCCCTCCTTTAAAAAAGAGAGCTAAACCAAGTTACATAGAAAAACTAAAAGATTAGCTTCCTAACTTACAACACTTGGCAAATCCGGGGAGCAGAGAAAACAACAATACGTTAGACATTACAACAGCAAGTTTAGGTACATCGGAGAGCGATTCAGCTCTAAAGAAAGATTCATCTTGATGTACAGTATTTTACTAACTAACAACTCGCACTTAAACATGGATGCAAATGCAAATGCACTCAAAGGGCTGAACACAAACTTAAACTACAGCACTGCTTAGTGCGCATCACTGCACAACACTTAACACTATCTTGGCACTATGCACACCACTTAACACACACACTTAGCACTCTTCAATAAGGCGCCGGGGTTTGGTGGTGGCGCGACCGCTTCGCCGCGGCTCGAAAGTCTCGCGGGGAGGGTCCTGGGGGGCGCGCAAGGGCGAGCGCTGCTGCACCTGGGGCGGCGACCTGGGTGGGGTCGCAGCAGGTGGAGTTGCAGCACGCGGCGTCGCCGTGCGCCCGTCCCGGTGGCCCGGCGGAGGCGAGGCCTCAACGCGGGGGCGCTCCGGGGATGGCGGGACGACAGGCGGCTGCTCCCGCTGCGGGGGCGGCGGGGGCGGCCCGTCGTCCTGCTCCTTGGGCTCGCAGGGGATGTCGTCGTCCGGGTCGGCCGCACACCGCGAGAGGGGCTGTATGAACGCCCGGTTGCGCCGCAGCAGGCCGTGGCCCTCGCACTCCACGTCGTAGGACCGGGGCTCGCTGCGCCTCTTGACGACCACGCCCGGGGCCTTCATGTCGCGGACCCAGACGAGTTCGCCAGACTGGAGGGGGCGCAGCTCCTTGACGCGGTGCCTCCGGTCAAAGTCCGCCTTCGCCCTCTCCTTCCTCTTGACCACAGCTGCCCGGTGGCGCTCGGAGTCCACGCCGGAGGGCCGCAAGTTCTCGCCCAGGATGGGGAGAGCAGTGCGCAGCCGCCGGTTCATCAAGAGCTCAGCTGGGCTGTAGCCGGACTCCAGGGGCGCCGTGCGGTAGGCCAGGAGCCCACGATACGGGTCCGAGTCCTTCTTGATGATGCTCTTCACCACCTTGACGGCCGCCTCGGCCTGGCCGTTGGACTGGGAGTGGTGGGGGCTCATCAAAGTTACCTTGAACCCCTCCTCGGTGGCGTAGGCCTTGAACTCCGCGCTCGCGAACTGAGGACCATTGTCGGCCCGCAGCTCCTCTGGAACGCCGTGGCGGGCGAAGACGTCGCGCATCTTGTTGACGACCCCCGTCGTCCCGAGGGAGCCCAGCTTGGCGACCTCCGGGTACCGGGAGTAGTAGTCCACGATCACCAGGTAGTGGTCCGCGCCCCTTTGGCACAGGTCGGCAGCGAGGCGCTGCCATGGCCGGCAGGGCAGCTTGGACAGCATCAGCGGCTCCACGGGCTGGGGCCGATGCTGCAAGCAAATGTCACACTGGGCACAAGTTTGACGCACCGCGTCTGAGATACCTGGCCACCACACTGTAGCGCGTGCACGCGCCAAGCACTTGGTTTCCCCGAGGTGGCCATGGTGGAGCTTGACGAGCACGTCAGCCCGCATGGCGCGCGGCACGTAGACCCGCGCCCCGCACACCAACAGCCCGTCGATGGTGGTGAGGCTGGCGCGCTCTCGGAAGAACGGCGCCAGCTCTCCGGAGACGTCCTTGTCCCTGGAGTGGGGCCACCCGTCCCGGACATGCTGCAGCACCGTCTGGGTCAGGGGGTCGCTCTGCTGGGCCTCGCGGACCGCCAGCAGCACCGGGTCGGACAGCGGGATGTCTGCCAGGACCGCCCTGGCGTAGAGCTCGACGTCGTTGTCCGCCAACAAGTCCCCGTCGCCGGCGGGCGCCGCCGTCGGCAAGGGCGCTCTGGAGAGGGTGTCGGGGACCATGAAGGCCTTGCCCGACACGTGCTCGATGGTGAAGGTGAACCTCATCAGCCGCATGCGCAGTCGCTGCAGCCTGGGGGTGAGCTCGCTCAGCGGCTTCTGGCCGAGCAGAGAGAGAAGGGGCTTGTGGTCGGTGCGGAGCACCAAGTCCGAGTCGCCGATGATGAAGATCTCCAGCTTCTCGCAAGCCCAGGTAAGCGCGAGCGCCTCCTTCTCAATTTGGGCGTAGCGGGACTCCGTGTCAGTGAGAGTCCGCGACGCGTAGTACACCGCGCGCCAGATGTCACGCAGCACGGCGCCGTTGTACTCCCAGGACTCGTGCAGCTGCTCGAGCACCGCCCCGAGCCCGAAACTCGAAGCGTCGGCGGAGACCCTGGAGCGCTTCTTCGGGTCGAAGAACGCTAGGGCCGGAGCGGACACCAGCTTGTCCTTGATGGCCTGGAAAGCCTTGTCGTGCACGTCCAGCCAGACGAACTCGACGTCCTCCCGGCGCAAGTCCCGCAGGGGCTGCGTCATCGTGGAGAGGTGCTCCAGGAACTTCAACTGGTAGTTGACCATGCCCAGGAAACGGTTCACGTCTCCCGCGCAGGCAGGCCGCGGCATGCCCACGATGGCCTCCACCTTGGCAGGGTCAGGCAGGATGCCCAGCCCGGCGTCGATGATGTAGCCCAAGAAGCGCGTCCGCTGCGTGGCGAACTCGCACTTCTTGCGGTTGAGGGTGACGCGCTGGTCCTTCAGCCTGACGAACACAGCGCGGAGTCGCACGTCGTGCTGGCCCCGCTGGTCCCCGTGCACGAGGATGTCGTCAGCCAGGTGAATCACGCCGTCGAGCCCCGCCAGCACTTCGCTGATTCTCTTCTGGAAGTGCTCCCCGGCCGAGGTCAGGCCCATCGGGAGCCTGTTGTAGCAGAAACGCCCGAACGGTGTGATGAACGTCGTCAGCTTCTTGGACGCCTCGGTGAGCACCAACTGGTAGTACCCATGGTTCGCGTCCAACTTCGTGAACCACTTGGCGTTGCCCAGCAACGCGAGCAACTCGTCCACGGCAGGCATCATGTAGCGCTCGCGCCGAACGCTACGGTTCAACTCGGTGTAGTCCACACAAATCCGCACGCTGCCGTTGGCCTTGGGGACCACGACCATCGGGGCGCACCACTCCGTGGCCTCGTCGACCGGGGAGATGACGCCCATGTCGACCATGCGCTGCAGCTCGGCCTTGACGTCATCACGCAGCTGGACCGACACCCGGCGGGGCGCCGTCACTGCGTGCGGTGCCGCGTCCTTCTGGAGCACGACGGAGTAGGGCCGCTTCTCGTTGATGCAGCCGAGCCCCTTAAAGACCTCGGGGAACTCGGACACCCAGTCGTCGCCGGTCGGCGACGGCCCCGGGTCGTCCTGGACTGCGGCACCCACGACGGCGTCGGGGTCCCAGCGGAGCATCCTCAGGTCCTCGATGGCGGGCCGGCCGAGAAGGTTGACCGCGTCCTCCTTGATGACGTAGACGTCTGTGGTGGCGCTCCTGCCCCGCCACTCGACGGGGGCGGCCATGACGCCCAGCACCGACAGCCGCCGGCGGTCCGGGCCTCGCAGACGGTTGGCCGTGGACTCCAGCTTGACGCCGCGGAAGGCCTCCTCGAACGTCTTCTGGCCGAGGACGGTCACGTCCGCGCCACTGTCGACCTGCAGGGTCAGCTCGCGGCCCGCGACGCTGACCTTGGTCATCCAGGGCGGCCGCTTCTTGCTCCTGCCGGCGCCGCCGACAGAGAACACTCCGGCCACCCGCACTGTTTCGCACAGTGCAGTGGCACCAACGAACAGCTCGTCGTCGTCGGTGTCGTCTTCGCCCACCTTGTGGACCTTCTTCTTGTCGCACTTGACGCTCCAGTGCCCTGTAGCGTTGCAGTTGCTGCACTTCGTGCCCTTGGCGGGGCACTCGGAGAAGGCGTGCTGCGGCGTCCGACCGCACTTGCCGCACTCTTTGCCAGAGTTACGACGCGCCGACTTTCCACCCCCTTTCTGGGAATGTGAACCCGAGCCGCGGCCGCCGCCCGAGCTCTTGTTGTTGTTGCTGTTTTCGCCGCGCCGTTGCTGCCTGCCAGCTCCGCCAGCGCGGACGAAGGACACGTCGCCGCCGCCGCCCCTGCTGCCGCCGGGCTGCTCGGCTTTGTTGCGCTGCAGCTCCTCCTTCTGCCGAATGCGAGCTGCGGCCTTGGTCAAAGTCATTTCCCCGTCCAGGGCTAGGGAATCCGACAGCCGCCGGTCCCTGATGCCGTTGATCAAGGCATCCCTGATGAACTCGTCCTTCATGGTCTTGAACCCGCACGTCTCGGCCAGACGGTGCAAGTCAGCAATAAAGTCATCAACACTCTCACCGGATTCCTGCTTGCGCCGCAGGAAACGTTGCCGCTCGAGCACAACGTTCTTCCGCACGCCGAAATGTTGATTGAACTGCTCCAAGACTGGCTTGTAGCGCCGCTCCTCGCCTTCGGCCATCTTGAAGGAGAGCATCAAGTCCTCTGCTCTGTCACCCATCGCGTAGATGAACGTGTCCACAACTTTCTTCTCAGGCTGGTCCATGAGTCCACTGCCGGACGCGTACCGCTGCCAGCGGTTGCGCCATCGGACCCAATCTTCGGCCTTGAAGGAAAATGGCGCCGGCATGGGCATGTGAGACTGGACTATGTACGGAGCGCGCTCGTAGTCGTCATAGTCGTCGTAGTAGTCGTCGTACCGGTTGCCTCCGTCGTTCCCAGACGGGTCCTTGGGGCCGGACGCCGTGGCATTCCCTCCGGACCCCGTCGGGGCCTGGGCGTTGGCGTTGGACGCTGTGGCATTCCCTCCGGCCCCTGCCGGGCCAGAGGAGGTTGGCTGCGTGGACTGTGACCGGGATCCTCCAGGAGGCCCTGCAGGGTCACTGGAGTTTTGGTTCGTGTTGCGTCCTCCGTTGGCCTGGTCCTGGCCGTTGGAGGGCTGGCGCGCGGGCGGACGCCACACGTCGTCGTCGCTGTGGGTAGACATCTTGGAAATCCGAGCCGGCGCGCCGCACTGAGAGTTCCAGTCACTTCACAACACAACACAACACTTCACTGTAATCCTGGACACAGATTCGGATCACGCACTCGCTGTCACCATGTAGTAGATCGCGCGGGTAGGGTTAAATAACCAGCAGGTATTAAATAAACGTCACTGTATTGAAATCCGTCAAGAGCAATACATGGCCCACCCGGTTGCCGCTCTGCGATCCTACTGACTACTGTACAAGCAAGGCCTACCCGAGATGGTGGGGGAATAGACCGGGAGTGGGGGCAGGCGGCGTTGCCAACCTTCACATGCCCAACAATAACATTATGAATATTACTAAAATACAGTTGTACTGTAGTGCTTCGCATGTGTTGACATGCTTCTATATTGCAGTATTGAAAATATTTCTGCCAAAGCAACCCGGTCACTTAACCTCAACCTAGCCCTGGACTGGACAGCATTGGATACCTCAGTGCTGTTCTCACCGAAGATTGCCGAGGACTTGAAAGATAAAAATAATTTTGAATTGTGTTTTCAAATTGTGTGACAATTCATCGCTAACAATATGCAGTTTCAATCATTGGTTTTTATTTAAAAAAACTACTGCTTTTTAATGAGGCTGATTGCTGTTAACTTTACGCTCATCTCAGCGTTACAAACATCTACATGACAGAATGACAGGTATGTACTGGTTTCCCAAATAATATTGTTTAAGAAGTAAATGAGGTGGCCAAGTAAACGTAACCGCTTTGAGGATGGACTGGGAAGGGAAGTTGTCACTGCTGTAGATATCGTGGGATCTTGAAATCCACCTAAACTAATGCGGTCAAAACTGAGACCGCATCAATTTGGCACACTCCGCATGAGTAAATGAAGTCAATCTTCTCCGCATCAGTTAGTGCGGTCAAATTGATAGAAAATTACACCGCACCAGATTGTGCGGAATCCTCCGCATTTGTTTTCTCAGTGTTCTCACAGTGGAAGCAGACGCAGGCGCGTAATTAGGAGGGGGGCTTCCCCCTTTGGTTCCCGGAGACCAAAATTTCGGCTTTTACGCGGATTGTTTCTTGGTATTGATGCGTAGACGTTGTTTATATAATGTATGAAACTTTAACAATAGGGTACTGAGTAGTTGAGGTAATAATTACCGTTCTGTTTGATGCATCTCTATAAAACTGACAAGTTTGCCCCTTAAGGTATGCAACCCGTAACGCATCCCCCCCCCCAGTCGACTCTAATTACGCCCCTGAGCAGACGTTACGCATTAGATTTTAATGTGTTTCCCGCCAGTGTCTTCTCAAAACTTACGTTTTCCGCAACCTGCTCGATGTCGAGCAGGAGAAGAAGTGGACTGACGAGAAGAAAGCAGATTTTCGCCAAATATTTATAATCGTTTAAAACTTCGGTAGGGGTACCTTCTCTGTAAACTGCCTTTGACACGTATGGACCAATGCTGTAGAGTAACTCCATTGTCTGGAGAATATTATACATCATGATTAATGATACTGGAGCGCCAAAGCATTTGCAGACCTGCTCCAACAAAGCCTTCGTATGGAGGTGCTTTTCTTGAGCCTGTGTTCAAAGAATGCCAGGTTAGGAAGCTCTTGCCCGAGTCATTTTACTCAGCGTCGTTTCGGGCCGTGCACGGTAAAAACGGTTCCTGGTTTTCCCAGGAACCCCCTGGGAATCGCCTATGTCTTTGCAATAGGGCTCCTGGGAAAACCAGGTACCGTTTTTACCGTTAGGTATGTTGGCGTCACAGTGAGATTGATCCTTACCTAACACCTTTATTCACCCTACAGAACTGCGTTTGTTTTTCATGCATGAGCTTTGCACAAAATTGTGCATGCGTTTTAAAATGTACGAATTTGTGCGTTCACTCTCATTCCAGGAACGTGACATCACGTTGAAACGAACGTGACAAAATGTCACGTTCGTTTGAGCATTGTGTCACATTCGTTTGGGTGTGAATTGGCCAAAAATCAGCTTTTTCACATTCAAACGACATTTTGTCACGTTCGCTTCAACGTGATGTCACGTTCCTCGAATGAGAGTGTTGATGCGTACGAATTAGTGCGTTTCTCGCGCATGCTTAATTCTGTGCAAAGCAATGCACAGAAAAAGTACGAAGTAATTTAGTATGGGCAGGCTCGAATCTCGGTGGGGTTAAATACGCCACGTACTTGCCTCTCTGAGTGGGATTGCGACGTCAACTGCTCTCTGCTTCAGGTTCTTGAGAGTTATTAACCTTCTGTTCACATCAGCAAAGCGATTAGACAGCTCATGGGTAAGGCTTACAAAGAGCATCATCACCGCCGAGTTTACCACACCCTAAAACAATCCATTCTCAATTTGCCTGCGTGACTGCAGCATGCACTACTATGCACTTTCTTTGATCGTAACTTTTGCACAGAATTTAAGCAATTCCAGGTTTCAAAGAATGTGCACATTGAAAAAACACCGTTTAGAAAAGAAAGGCATTTGTGTAACAACATTATTTAGTTGTTTCGAAATTACAAGGAAATCGCGTTTCAATGTCATTAAAATTTCTGCTATCTCATTCCAGGAACAAGACATCACGTTGTAAGGTCTTTGTACCGGCAAAATCGGATTACTTGTCGGAAACCTGTCTATGAAAACCTGATCAAAATTCGGGCACTTCTGAAAGCATTTCGTGACATTTTGTAGAACTCAAACCATCAATGTCAGAGTATGTTAATTTTCAGAATTTCAGCTTTCAGAGGTGCGCGAATTTTGATCAGGATTTCACACATGTCTCTGACATTCTGACAAAATTAACACGATTGCACGATAAGCGTTTAGGCTCTATTGAACAAGTGCATGAGTCAGGTGAAATTGGATATCATTTTGGTGAGTGACCAAGTTCGGTTAGAAATTCACCGCTTTGCTCTTGATAACCACACTGTTAAAAATTATGTTGTAATTTAACAGTAAATATGTTGCTAATTTTCTTAATGATCAAAGTTGTTTTCAAATGACTTTCGTTGTTTACTAACGAGTTGCGTCGTTCGTCCACAAGACGTTTGTAAACCGGTAGACAGCCTTATTTGCATCAATTTTTATTGCCGATAAGGTCACAGACCTAGTAGAGCCCCGGTTACCCCGCGGTAACCACTTCTTAAATTGTCCGGGTTGTTTGTACGCAGCAAAATATTGTTTTGAAACAGCATGAGTCATAAAAGTAATTAGCAACGAATTCGTCGTTTCAAAACAAGCAAACTTGTTCACAAACAACAGCGTTGTCGAAGTTGGTAATTGTGTTGTTGTTTTAAAACAACAATTTTTAACAGTGCAGTCCCAAGACGTACGCCTTCCCACTGCATTGTCTCCATTCTATCGCTATTTTATAACCAAAATTCCAAAACATCAAAGTAAACACGAACCTATGCCGTACTTTTCCATACGAGATTTTACGCGAATGCGATGTTGCGCTTACCTGCAAACCCCTCATCGCTGTCTCAATGTCATATAAATGCTTGCCTGTTACAACATCAGAAACCCACGAGAATTCCCAGACAATGTTAATTATTAAATAGGTTAAAGCATTTTTCGGAAACTTGGACGCAGAGAAGGTTAAGTTTACAACCCGCAGGGTCGCTAGCATGTGTCTGAACCGAATTCCGATGCATGGTAAGCAAATTGAAGATGCTGCGATGACGAATATTACTTTGCGAACCATAAACTCAATCATGAACCAGCTAAGTGAGCCATACTGTACCCAATAGAGTAAAATCTGGAGAGCATCAAGGAGTTCCCCAAGCGAGGAGCAAATGTACATAAAAGTGTTGAAAAACACGCTGTACCTAAAACGAACGAAAAAAGCAAAGCAGAATATTTAAGTGCAATCGACTGCAATCACCCGCCAAAGTACCACCTCAGCAAGTTCTTGCTCACCTTAACCAGTTCTTTGACTCATTAAAGTTTCCATGGTGATAAGCAAAAGGTGCTTGCCCAAGCGCTCTGACAATAGCTATTGGCAGTGGTAATTTTGATGTTGACCGGGTTTGCAAAGGAATCGAGGCGTGCATGCCGACACCCGGAACCGTCGGACAGCGTCGTCGATGAATCCGTCCGATGTGGCGTAAAGTGTGTCCCTGTGCCGCTGTGCCGGTGTGGTTGCGTGCAATCGTCGGAAGGACATCAACGAGGAAAAAGAACATATTATGTGGGGTCGATGTGTTGTGTTATAGATCGTGCAAGTGGCGATACAACTCAGAAAACGCAAGAGTTTGCATGGCACACCCCTTCGCGCCTTCACACCCTTCACCCCTATACTCTTAATGTCTTACAATGAAATTTGACCTATGTTATTAGCAGGTTACAGTGAATTCGGCGCAAGCATGATGCGAAGCAATATTTTTTCGTAATACGAATCTTTTAAGCTTCTTCATTGTAAGATGCAAAGAAAAACCTTCGTAATACGAAGAAAAACCACCTTCGTAATATGCTTGCGCCATTTCCTTCGTATTATGGGAAATTTCTTCGTAAGACATTTAGAGTACAGCCAAATTTGAGCTATATTACTGTGAATTCGGCGGCGTGATACGACGCAACATTTCTCCCCCTACAGTAGCGAATCTTTTTCGTATTTTAATTGTTAGATACAAAGGGATACCTCCTTAGTAAGAAGAAAAACGACGTTCGTACAATGCTTGCGCCGTCACTGAAATTCAAAGGGTGAGACATCTGCTGACAAATTTCTGGCGATACAAAAAGTAATTCCAAAAAAGGCCATACACAAATGTATGACGGGAAAAGGGCCAAACCTGTTCCACCGAAAAAAGGTCAGACATCAGCGAGACTGGCCCTTTGTTTAGCTTGGGGATAAATCAACCTTTCTGTGATTCTCAAAAGCATGACCCTTTTTCATACATACGCTTATTTATGAGCCCGTGAGGGAGAAAAAGTGTGCACTGCAAAAAATTAGGGTCTGATACGGAGCAAGCTACGGCGTTTCGTTTACCCTCTGAAATGGTGCTACGGACGCCTGCCGTACCATTCCTCCCATAAAAGCATGTGCTTTGTAAAGCATGGTACGGAAATTTAACGGAAAATGTACCGCTAATTTCAGGCCGGAGGTTGCCGTTTGGCTTTTCCGTTTGTGAAAAAGTCCAAAATGCTTTACGGACCGTGAGGAACGGATGTTCTTTCATGTTTTTCATAGGCAACTGATACCTGTTGACTTAAAAAAAAAAACACATTTTTATTGGCTTATTGTAAAATATATCAACAGTAAATAAAACTAAACAAGAAAGACTGACCGTCTTTGATGTCACTTGTGTTGAATGAAGTTTGAAACACCAGAGACAAACAATTCAGAGTTTTCTTGAATCACTCAACCTATCCTCATCCAGCTGCTGTTTGCATAAAGACAAGTCCGTTCTGTACTCGTCCATTAAAATCGGAAATTTCCAAAGTCAGTCGCGATAATGGCCTGCGTTGTCGAAGTAGGGTGAAGAACCTCTCTCTAGTCCAATCTTAACTGTAGGTACGTTTATAATAGGGACAGAAATCACCTTCAAGTAAGCCAGTCAGTGCAATAACAATCAATCTCAAATGGTGGTAAATGGAGCACCCGTAGAAAACAATACATGAATAAACCAAAAAGACATTAATTTATTCTCCACTTCCTCGTGGCACAGGTACGACATCTCAAAAAGTCACAATTATAAGGGCAACTCGTACAAATAACGAAAAAAAAAAAATCGCGGTAACATGTCCGTATATCAAAGGCAGTCAGTCTAACTACCACAACGTGGCGAAACGTCGTCAGAAAACCCGAGGGCGCGTACGTCCATCGAACCCGGTCTCAAGAACGAGTCCAGGGAAAGGCGGTACGGCGCCGCGGTGTCGGCAACTTGGCGGGCAGTTCTACTCCTCGCAGGCCGCCTCCGCCTCGGTCGACAGGTGTTGCTGCGCGAGGGCCTTCTCCACCTCCTGCAGCGCCGCGTCGGTGGCTGGGGCGCACGCGTCGCACGCCGTGTCGCCGCAGCGCGCCGCGGCCACGATGGCCTCCACGGCGCCGTCGTCGACCTCCTGGACAGCAAAGAGAGCACGATCAACGATTGAGACTCCGCACAAGGAACCACTATGAGGTTAAACCGTGCAGAGCCCACAGCACAAAATCGAGCATACTCGTGAGAGTCACGAATTTAAGCGCAACAACGCGCAAGGAAGGTGTTGCGTAATAATGCACATTTTCCTGCTCCAAACGAATTCATGCTTTATGAATATCGGTCAAAGCTGGGCACGAAAAAAGTCAAGAAGTCGTAGGAGATATGTTAAAGTACACGACTTTATGTTAAAACCTATTTTTATATCGTCCTCAAAAAACATTTTTTACACATCCTGTTATGTCTAAATAGGTCGGCCTGGAATAAAGAGTTTTCACGCAAGCGATCACTACTCACATGCGAGGTGTCGTCCATCAGCAAGGTGTGCAGCAGCTTGCCATCAAAGAAGGAAGCGGGTTGGACCTGGGGAAGATCAGAGACTTGAAAAGAAGCGCTCAGTTCCATGCGCAATGGGCTGCAAGGAAGTTGTTACCAGAAGGTACGAAGTACACTAAACTGAAAGAGTCATAATCAAGACCAAAAGTTAGGGTGAAGTATTCTTTAACGCCAAAATTTGGGTGAATACACTGCAAGATCATATGAACGCTTAGTACACAGCTGTGGGAGTGTACTTGTAAGCACACTGCTAGGAGTGTGCTTGACAAGCACACTGCTAGGAGTGTGCTTGACAAGCACACATCTATTGCTGTGTGATGTACTTGGGCAAGCAATACATTCATCTCACCCATTTGAAAGCACACTCTGAGATAAGTGCTTGTCCAAGGACACATCTTAGAGATGCTAACCCAAGTTCACTTTAACGGATGTGTGCTTGACAAGCACACTCCTATATATGTGATCTTCCAAAGTACAATCTAACACACCGCTGCGTACTTGATTTGGCAGTTTAAGTGTGCCTCGCCCAAACTTGGGTAATGGTCAAGACTCTTTCGTTTGCAGTGATATTAGGAGCGAATGAACACTCTGAGTCCTTCCGAATGCAATAAGACGCACCTCGTCCACCGGCACGACGGCTCCCAGGGCGTCGTTCAGGACGATGAGGTGGGTGCAGGCGCGCATGAAGAGCGCCGCCAGGTGCACCGCAAGGCGCTGCGGTCTGGGCGGCGGAAGCTGCTCGATTTCCGCGGCGGTCATCTTGCCGACCTGCGACATAAAAAAAGGAGAAGAGATTAAAACAAGCACCTGGTAAAACTACAATGGACAGGGCAAGGAGACGGACATAATTTAGAATTTCCGTGAATTTTTTTGAGCAACACATCATTTCTAAATGAGTTTTTATTGAATTGCGACCAGTAATTGTCGACATCCGATGTAAACTTCATCGTGTTTAGAAGAAGTTCTATTGGATTCAACTCAATTCCTTCAGTTTAGAAGAAATGAGGCTAAAATGCAATCTTGGCCATCAAATCATTGAGGGCTGATCAAACAAATCGAAGGGTACTCCGGTAACAGCGAAAATATCGAGAAATATCTTACTCGAACACAAGTCCGTGCGAAGAGACGAATGACTTCCTCCTCGGACGTGGGAGTGAACTCCACCACGGGGGCAGCCGGGGCGGGGGACGGCTCTTGAGTGGGCGACTCGGCTGATGTCACCTCGGCCCTTTCTTCTTCGACCGCACTGGCGTCACGACCTTGACCCTCTGGAGCAGGCACGGCAGATGTTGCAGCGGCAGGGGCACTTTCAACCGGGTCAACGGCGGAGGCTTCAGCTTCAGGCGTCGGCACGACAGACCTGCGAGGGCGAATGGAAGAAGTTTTATTTTAATTAAGTATTAACGGGGGAGCCTCAATGACCCGAAATCCTACAAGCGAAATGCAGGCACAGATTTTAAACAGTGTACACGCAGGCACAAATTTAAAACAGTGTACATGCAGGCACACAATTTTAACAGTGTGCACGCAGGCATCAGTTTTAAACAGTGTACATGCCGGCACAAATGTTCAACAGCGTACATGCAGGCAACAAATTTTAACAGTGTGCCATGCACGACCCTAGCAGTTGCACAGCGAGGGTGATCAGAGAGTGTCACTCACCGCGAGGCCCGGTCCGCGGCTGCGCGGATGGAGGCGGCGAGAGCGCCGCAGTGGCGCATCAGGAAGAGAGCGGCGGCGGGCAGCACGTGCCGGCAGGGCAGCGCGCGCAGGCGGGCCGGCAAGTCGGCGGCGGCGAGCCCCAGCGACGGGCACAGGCACCACCCCAGCAGGCGCCACCGCGCGTCCTCCATGTTCTCGCCGCGCCACAGCGACAGCAGACCGGGGTGCGGCACGGCGGCCGCGTCTGCGGGCCGGGGGGAACGACTTGAGTGCTTGGAATGCCTCACAAGGAGAGGTCTCCCCGCTGAACACTCTTAAATGTTGCATAGTAAAGATTCTCTATACTATGGTGAAAATGTTCTATATTGTGGTGGTGCAGCTGACTAATACACCATTAAGGATTTACTGTACCCTATAGATGTCTTGACTCATTTTATTTGAATAATGGAGAAAATCTCCGCCAAAATATGGTGATGCAGGCTCACTGGTAAAACAAAGGCATAAAAATTACGCCCTAAAGGGCATAAATACTCTTTTACGCCCTTCCAGGGGCATAAATCGTTTTATGCCCTTGGGAAGAGCGTAAATGGTATAGGAATTTTAAGCAAAATTTTAATGCCCTTCCCAAAGGCATTAACGATTTATGCCCTTTAAGGGCGTAAATCGTTTACGCCCTTAAAGGGCATAATTTTTATGCCTTTGTTTCACCAGTGCTTTCAACGTCAAACATTGACAGTTAACTCTTGAAGAATTTTAAATGCATAGTGCGACTATGCCATCACGAGTAGTATCTGTGCATCCATTTTTAAATTAAAGAGTGAAGAAGTCCACCAGCATATACAGAAAGATGCACCAGCGAATAATGACGTAGATTTTCATTCAAAAACATCAACAATATCAATAAGGCACTGCATTCTCAATGGTGGTCAGTTGTACAACCATAATACAGACAATGTCACCCTGACATAGAAACTGGGCATACGGAAAACCCGTACTACTCCCTTGCGTCCTCAGTCCGACAGCACGGCCGAACGACTCATCAGGACAATTGTCACCCAGCTCTCTCTCGTTGTCAACCAGACTAAACATGACTGGGACTTGCAGGTACCCCTGGTGCTGCTTAGCCTTCGAGTCTCCCCGCGCGTCACCAACGGCGTGTCCCCTGCACACTAAACTTCTTACGGATACACCCTATCTGTATTACGGACATTTTTGTGCAATTGCAATTACGGATAGATTTTGCTTGTAATACGGATGAAATCATCCGTATTACCAGGGGGCGGTAACACCCTAAAGCGGCAGTGAGGCGAAGCTCTCGCTCCGATCTTGCTCCGTGCAGGGGTCACGGACTTCTTCGAGATTATTCAAACCATGCCACTGTTTGCAAATCGCTTTGCACATATCGCAAGAGCATCACATAAAGGGTGCATTAGACTCATTGGCAATCCCTCAACTGCTACTTCAGCCCTCAAAAAATCAAAGTGAAAACACTAAAAAATACAATAAGTCTTAAAATTAAGGAAAAAACCTCGGGCGCGCCATCTTTGTGTAAACATTTCCGCGATTTTCTCTTTTGTACCAAGTAAAATTGGGAGTTTTGGGAAGGTCAATGCGTCTAATGCACCCTAAATTTGATGCTCTTTCGATCTGTGCAAAGCGTTTTGAAAACAATGGCCTAGTTTCAATAATCTCGAAGAAGTCCGTAACCCCTGCAGGAAGCGAGAGCTTCGCCTCACTCCCGTTTTGTAGTGTTACCGCCCCCTGGTATTACAAAGGGTTTTACGTCCGTACCATACGGATATTTTCGTCTGTATGTTACGGACGTAAAAACTCTTTGTAATACGGATGATTTCATCCGTATTACAAGCAAAATCTATCCGTAATTGCAATTGCACAAAAATGTCCGTGGATAGGATGTATCCGTAAGAAGTTTAGTGTGTGCCATGCTCCTCCGTATGCACTGACGTTCCGTGTGCAGTTCCCTCACTCACCCAGCGGCTGCGGTTCGACCTCGGCGGGCACCAGCCTGGCGCCCTGCGCCACCTGGTTGGGCAGGATGAACTCGCGCACGCGGCCCAGGCCGTGGTCCTGGCTGGCGCCCTCGTGGAACAGCACGCCGTACAGGCGGCGGCGGAACGGCCGCAGCGCCTCGGTGGAGCAGCTGCCGGGCGGCAGCGCCGGGTCCTCCAGCGCGCAGTTGTCCTCCCAGACGCGCTTCTCCAGCAGCACCAGCACGTGCGGCGACACGAACTGCAGCGCCACGTGGCGCACGCGCGCCAGCTGCAGCACTGCAAAAATGCGCGGCCAGCGTCACACAGTGGGCCAGAAGACGAAGACCACACATGGGGCAGAAGACGAAGACCATGGTGGGCCAGAGGACCGCACAGTGGGCCAGAAGACCAGTGGGGGGCGGCAACAAATTCTACTCCACAGACGCTAAATGGGACTCGAATCGAACGTGTGACCCCGCATCAATAAATTGCTTTCCGAGCGAGGAATTCATTGGTCCGGTCAAATGTTCAATTCGAGCCCTGTTTAGCGACTCTGGAACTCAAAACGCGTCTATTGAATTATTGCCACCTACGCCGGTCTTCCGGCCAACCGTGGACCAGTGGTGGTGGCAGAAATTCTAAACGCGTTTCGAGTTCCAGAGTAGCTGAATGGGATTAGAACCGAACCTGTGACCCCTTCAATGGATTAGTCGGTCGGAGAGCGATTCACTCATAGGGGCACATGCGGAGTCCCATTTAGTGACTGGCGCTGAAAACACATGCAGAATTTTTACCACCTCCACTGGTCACCTGGCGCACTGTGATTCAACTCGCTTAACTCTAAATAAGGCTAGTTGCAGCACTGCAAAACGCGTGGTACCGTTTTGAAGTGTGGCAAAGAAGGAGATGCCACCACCACCAGAACGGAGACTTACCCTCCGACTCACCCTTGACTGAGTTCTCGGGCGCGGCTTGCGGTGCGGCCGGCTCGGGGGACGACGCGCTGGACCGGGGCAGGGCGTCGTCCGTCCACGGCGTGTAGTCGTGCGCGGCCAGGCTGGCCTCCAGCTGGGTGCGCAGCGCCTCCCGGAACGCCGCGCTGTCCGCGAAGCCGAGCTGCTTCGAGAAGTCCGTCATCAGCTCGGGGGAGTACTCCGTCAACGACCTGGAAATCACCAAGTGAAGGAACGTATATAATAGAACATCACATCAGTTTACTGCGTAGATTTAGCGAAGGGTAAGAGAGCGCTTAAGAGATTCGTCGTTGGTGCCATTGAGCCCGGATGCACTGTGGCAAAAAGCTACGGAAAATTCTGTAAACAGCTTGTGGTAATTCTCCGTAGCCCTCTTATCAATATTCTCCGTAGGCTCTTACAGTATTTTCCGTAGGACCGCACAGTGTTCTCCGTAGGACCTTACAGTGATCTCCGTAGGACTATACAGTCTTCCAGGCCATACGGAGAAGACTGTGCGGACTTACAGAGAAAACTGTACGGCCTTACGGAGAATACTGTAAGAGCCTACGGAGAATATTGATAAGAGAGCTACGGAGAATCCTGGCAAAAAAATATAACAGAATTTTCCGTACCTTTTTGCCAGTGTGGTTGACATTTTGTCAGACGCGACTTGCAAATACGCAGGTGCACATACTAGCTTACACTACTTGTGACGCACTAGGTGGGCACAAAATTAAGCCACCGTCAGATGTGGTCAAAATTCATGGGACAATATAAGTCTTTTGACTGACAACAATCTAAATCTAAAGGTGATATACTTGTAATATCTTCTTTGGCAACACAGAAACAATATAAGTCGCGGGACCAATCTAAGTCAAAGATACAGTTTCCCTCGGCGTAACATCTTAACCTCCGTCCCTTGCCCCAGCGGATGCGCCGTCTTCGGTCGGTACGGCTCAGGGCCCCCGCTGGCCGGTGCGGCTGCCGTCCACTGGGTTATTTCCGACAGCTCCTCTGCCGAGCCGGCCCCCCTCCTGTACCCGTTCAACCGTAGCCTCTTCCAAAGTCTGATCTCGGGGAGGCCGCAAAGCTACCTGGACCACCACGGAAGGAACGTTAATCAGCACATCATTTCGCGTGTTACCGTGGGAGGGCGTGAAGGACCAGGGACCATTGACCCTCCTGAAAGCTGGAAATTCTGAACGCGGTTGGTATCCCGTAGCCTACAATACCCGAGGCCGTTCAGTTTCCGGCCGCAGTGCTCCGTAGGCTTCAGCGTCGAGGACAACAGTCTCCAGCCTCGGGACTGCGACTTACAGAGCCCCTCACCCTCGGGAATACTGTAAAGCCCGGAGAATATCGAGAGCACGGATATCCGACAAAAACAATTTTCCGTACCATTTTGCCAGTAGTTTTGACTTGTACGCGACTTAAACCGGAATCGCTTACCCTGGCCGACTAGGTGCGACAGCCCGTGCAGTGCAAAATTCATGGCTAATTTGACTGACACACTAATCAAATAAACTAATTCCTTCACGGGAACAATATAGCTTTGCACAACAATCTAAAGGTTATACTTGTAATATCTTCTTTGGCAACACAGAAAACGGCCTTACCGAAAAATCTTGCCTTCCAAACGGCGACACACAATGTATCACCAATATTTAGCGGACCTCTAAAGTCTCGCCAACATTTGGTCAGACACAGAAGTCTCACCATTTTGGCGAGACTTTCAGGTGTTAACAAAACTTGGCGAGACTTCGAGACTTCATGCATCGCCATACTATTCTGACGAAGAGTCTTTCCTTCCAATTTGCAGTGTTGTATCGCAAAAAGAAAAAAAAAAGATATACTCTAAATGTTGTACAGTGAAGATTCTCCATATTATGGTGAAAATGTTCCATATTACGGTGGTGCAGCTGACTTAGTAACATTCCATTGAAATTCACTGTACCTTCTAGAGATTTTGACGGATTTCGTTGGTATTATGGAGAAAACCACCAGCATATTATGTTGGTGCAGCCTTTTACCGTAAGACATTTACTGTGATCTGAAGCATCGGCTCTGATTTGGCAGTGTAAGATTAGTGCACTCTCATTCCAGGAACGTGACATCACGTTGAAACGAACGTGACAAGGTGTCACGTTCGTTTGAGCATTGTGTCACATTCGTTTGAATGTGAACGAGCTGATTTTCGACCAATTCACACCCAAACGAATGCTGACACACTGCTTTCAACGTGGCGTCACGTTCCTGGAATGAGAGTGTGCGTTTGGCGCGCCTCGTCGGCGCTTACTTGTCCAGGATGGCGAGCACGGCGTCCGCGGTCGTCATGCTGCTCAGCCTGTTCTTCACCAGCTGGCCCAGCCGCGTGATGACCGCCTCCAGGCGGAAACTCAGCGACGGGCTGAGCTGGTCCAGGCGAGTCCCCGCCGCCTTAATGTGCAGGGGCTGCAAACACACGCAGGGATTGCACTCTTGTACACTAAATCAAGGGGGAAACCACGTTCGATGTTTGAGGACACGAGATTTTTTTAAGACAAGATATTTCGCAAGACTCCATCCACTATTACGCCGCAAATCTGCATTTTAGAGGGAAAATTTCGGATTTCCAGAGATTTTTCAGGCTCCAGGGGATACAAGATTTCTGGAGTCGTTGCCCCCTACCACTCAATTCATGTGCACTTTTCAAATGCATAGTTATGCATTTTCTATTGCAAAATTGTTCATGCCCAGATACGCACGTCATGTGTATTTAATATTAGGCACACCTCACGTACGTATCTGAGCATGCATAGTTATATGCACGCAAAAAAAGGGCACAAGACCTAAGTGAGCACGCTTGAAACCTTCCGTATTTCGAGGAACAAACCACTTACTTAAATGAGTGATGATGTAGGTCGAGAATTACAAAGGAATTCTCCTTTAAATCTCATGTACACTAAAATTACCTCGTGATGACATCACGCTTTACTTAGAAAAGACGTAAGTAGTTTGAAAGGTTAGGAGAGTGACGCTAACCTATACAAAAGTTCCCCGATCAAGTCGCGGACGACTGCATACATAACTTGAACATACTGTCATTCAAACTGCAAAACCAACAGTCTACATTTTGCATTTTGCAAAAAGACAATTGTTATGTTTTTCAAAAACACCCATTTGAAAACATAAATTTGCATCATATTCTCCAGCCCTCCGGTATCCGCGCCTTCCATTACGAACACAATGGCCCGACTATCCTCCCCTGAGTAGCCCCTTGAACGGCGCCGTTCTCCACGGCGTACTCACGATGAGGTACGAGGCGGGCACGCATCCGTTGGCCAGCACGGCCATGAGCAGCGGCAGGTGGCCGCGGTGCCGCAGCCCCAGGGCGCGCGCGATGGCGTCGCGGTCGAAGTGCAGCGTCGCCATGTCCTGGTCCAGGTGCGCCACGGACAGGTAGTAGTGCGCCGTCTCCATGGCCACGAAGTCCGTGTCGCGCGACAGCAGCGCGAAGCAGCCGTGGCGGCGGCAGTACTGCCCCATCTCCACGTCCAGCTCGCGCACAGAGATCCGCACCTGCCAGAACGCATGGACACGGTTAAAACCTTACGAAGAATTTCGAGCATACATTCACGCTTGAAACCCTGCGAAGTCTATTGAACATACGTAGTGCCAACTAATTTACTTTGTTGCACAAAGAGGTAGTCGGCCAATAACAAAGTATCTTTCAGTAAGCTTATGCGAGGCCTAAAATAGCTTTTAAGGTTTTCTGAGCGTTGAACAATTTAAAAAAGTTGGGTAAACGAGTATAAAATAAGTCATAAATTACACGCTAAACACTAAACACCGTACATGGTGATGCATGATTTTCAGCGTGTGGAACGTTTTGAAAAAAATTGTGCCCAAATTTGCACAAAATTTTGCACTTTTTTTTACACATAATACTATGCAAATTTTGCGCATGCACAAGATAGTGCAAGCAACACGTACGAAATTAAGACTGTGCAGAAGGTAGGTGCCTACTTTCTGGGCACCTTTAGCCCTACCAAGACATGCCACGGGTGAAGGCAAGTTGCTCATGGGCATCACTGCAAAGCCGGGGGTAAGTTTGCTTGCCACAATATTGGCAAGCCGTTTTGAATGCCAAAAATTGGCAAGCTTGGTCTAGAAATACCCCCAGCTTGCCAAAATATGGCAAGCTTATGAAGATTTCCGACCAAAGATTGCCAAATTTTGGCATTCAAAACGGATCGCCAAATTTGTGGCAAGCAAACTAACCACTGACTACGTGCCAAGCATGCGTTGGTAGGTGTGTACTTGTCAAGCATGCATTCGGAAGTGTGTCCGTGGCCAAGCATGCATTTATAAGTGCTTTACGGAGTATACAGTTTGGATTGTAGGGGACATTTTATTCCCTCCCTTATCCCCGATCTCCAGGTTCCCAAGGTAACGAATAGCTTGTTAAACCATAGTCGTACAGGAACTAAAGGATAATTTCACAACGACTAACTTGTAATAACACATCAACAGTCCACTTTCAAAAACAAGTCGTTGACCAACAACAAATGTTGTAAGTCAACGAAAAGTATTGTAAGTCGAAGATTTAGTTATGTCTGTGACAAGTACTCATGGAGAACTTTTGACGCTAAATTTATTTTGCATGGTTCTTTTTTTATCAATAGTAATTTCACTATGACTTGGCGAACAAAATAGATGAATTTTCATAATTCGCTTTCATTGAGCAGATAATTGCAAAAGATGTTGTTTCCACACAAATTGTATCGTTAAGGGTGATAACAAGAATATTGTTCTTCAACGACAAATTGTTGCTGACTTGAGTCAACGACATTTGTTTCGCTTTGGTTCATGATGAAATTCTATGTTTTGGAACGACTAAATTTTCACTCATCTGATTGTTTCTGTACAACCATTTTTTAACAGCGTACGGACCCAGCTCCCTGTGCACTCACCTCGAAGCCTGCCCGTTTGAGCGCCAGCTTGACGCAAATGAAGGCGCCCGAGGGCAGGATGAAGTCGTGGTTCCCCCGCGGGGCACGCCGTACGCCCTGCTGGTGGTAGCCGCGCGCGCCGCGGCCACCCCGCCGCGGACCCATTGCACCTCGAGAGGCACGCCAGGCGCCGCGCCAGTCAGAGCGGCCTCGCTGAGGGAAGTCTGAGCGACCTCCTCGCTGAGGGAAGTCTGAGCGACCTCCTTGCTGAGGGAAGTCTGAGCGACCTCCTTGCTGAGAAAAGTCTGAGCGACCTCCTTGCTGAGAAAAGTCTGAGCGACCTCCTTGCTGAGAAGTCTGAGCGACCTCCTTGCTGAGAAAAGTCTGAGCGACCTCCTCGCTGAGGGAAGTCTGAGCGACCCCCTCGCTGCGAGTAAGCCGCCCTCCCACGAGAGAAGCCGCGAGCGTGGTACCCCAAGCGCTGCAGCTCTTCCTGGGCTTGCTTCAACTGTTCCCAGTCATGCCGTGACTCCTGGTCTGCCCGAGCGTCCCCGCTTTGCTCCTGAACCTGAGGCTGTGGCTCTGAGGAATCACCCTGGGCCTCGCTCGACTTCACCACTGAATGCTGCGACTCTGGGGTCTTGCTCTGGTCTTGCCCGGGGTCCTCGTTCAGCTTCTCCCCTTGAGGCTGGGACTCGGATGCTTCCTTCTGTTCTCGCTCGGCAGCCTCTTCCGTCTTCGCCGCTGGGGCAGGAGGCAGAGGTTCAGGAGCAGAGTCCCCCGAAGAGGACACCGCCTCCTTCACGCTTGGCTCGCTGGGCTCCGCTGGACGCAAGGGTTCTCCAGCTCCGGCATCAGTGTTGCTCTCCTTTGGCGCTACGGCATCGCGGTCACCACACTGGGAAACAAGGCAGAGCAGAGACACAGATTAGCGAACATATAACTCGAAAAACTCCAAGGTGCAACACAAACCACAGTTTATATCAGTGAAAAAAAAAGGAAAAGAAAAATAACCGTTTTTAGAATTTGTCCTTGTTATTTTTTTTTAAGGAAAAGAAGAAAGGTTGCTAAAAATTCTGAGCACACTCTCATTGTAGAGTACACTCGCGCGAGAGTCTACTCGTGAGAACACACCGAATGGAGTGAAGTGAGCACATTGTTGGTTGAGGCAGAGTACCGAGGGTGTGTGTTTACAGTGCAGGCACGCACGACGTACCTTTGGCTTGCTGGGTGGCCACGTCGCGATCCTATCAAAGGCGTCCTGGACGCGAGCCAGTTGCTGCTTCTTGCGGTCCTCCCACACATTGAGGCGACCCTCGCTCGGCGCTCCCTTGAAGTAGAACACTGGAGTCACTCCCACGTCTGGCCGGACACCAAAGGGAATCATTCGGAATTATTGCAGAGAAAAGGCAAATCGGACAAACTCAAATGAATTCATCATGTCTTAAGACATAAATAAATCAACCAATAGTCACCTATACTACGCAACCTAAAACTGTATACTGTACTGAAAATGATATACACTGTCAGAAAAAAAAATTGACAGATCAGGGAGGCATTTCAGACAAAAATGTTGCGAAAAGTTCTTTTGTCAGTTCACGAAAGATTTACGGACCCACTTCGGACAATCTTTGAAAATCAGCGAGAATCTTCGTGAATTGCCAAGATTCTTCGTGAATACAAGGGTGCCTTCGGCAAATTATTTACAGACAGTACTCGGGTCAGTCATCTGCACAGTGATTGGTGCGAGTCTGCGAGAGCACAAACAGCATGCGCACTATATGTCCAAAAGAGAAATTCACATGGTACAAAGATAATGATTCAAGCATAAACGTGCTTTTTCTGTGAACCTCACAATAACTACAAAAAATTGAATCGGTCTATGAAGAAACATTGCTATGTTTGAACGCTTGCACCAAATGAACAGAAATGTAGGTCAGCTTCCCTTGAAAGACATTTCACACAAGGGGAAATAAGTCCAGCCAAATTAGTACACCGGGATTCATTGAACATGTATAATTCACCGTAACTCATTAAAATTCTTCGAAATACAACCAAAATTCGACTGAAATTCATCGAAATTCGACTGAAATTCATTGAACTTGTACACCGAAGTTCACAGTGATTTCCCCTTGCATTTGCAGAGGGGACCGTGGCTCACCCTGCAGGCGGCACGCGAAGTCCACCATGCTGGCGGCGAGCTGCTTGAACTGGCCGCCGTAGAGCTGCTCCTGGTGGCTGACCTTCTCGTACATGACGAGGCCTCCGTCCACCACCGCCACGGCGGAGTCGCGGCCCGTCGCCTTCCTGCAACACGGCGAGCTGTAGAGCGACCAGCACACTGAAAAGTAGGCAAAAAGCAACACTTTGCCCCTGTAAGTAGGCAAAGAGTGCTACTTTGCCCCCCCCCCCCTTGGGCCGACTCTGGATCCGCCACTGCAGCAGCCTCTTTAAAGGTTTACCTTTAATGCAAAAATGAGACGGCAGAAAATGATCTTATTTTATCCTGGTGACAGGTTTTAGGTGAGGGTATAACCAAATTTTGGGCAATTCATAACTTAACCCCTGAAAAAGATTGTAAATCTTTGTAAAATTATCTCAGTCCAAAACATTTTTTAAATAGGTTATCAAATAGAAAGGATGAACTTACTATTTGACCCCGCTGCAAATCAAATGATCCAAATAAAAACCATTAACGATTTTCCTTGGCCAAGTGACGAATTGCCTACAATGTTGTTCACGCCACCAAAGCCCTTCAAAAGAACAAGGTCACCACGAAAACAAAAATGATCACTTATTGAAGTCCCATTTCTGCAATAAGATAAAACAGGAGTCTTACGAAAAAACTTGTATGCGTTACATATAGTACCTTCTAGCAGGGCCTAAAGTGAAGAACAAGAACATAGACCGGAAACAGTACAAGAAAACGGCCTACGACGGGGTTTTTGACAAGCCAGAGGTCATATTTTACTGCAAAATTAAAGGTCCTTGAATATTTGGATTGAGAATGATCACTCGTAATTCTGATATAAGCGTTATTTGGCAGCTGTTTCCGTCCTGTGTTCTCCTCCTTGTTCTTCACTTCAGGCCCTGCTAGAAGTGTCTACTTGACAAGTCTCATACGAAATTTAAAATATGTGTAAACTATGCACTGAAAATCTATCGGCGTGACTTCGTGCCGCTGCAGGGGCGTGAATAAAGTGTCCCGCCAAAAACCGGCATGACAGAAAAGTCACGCCACAAATCGGCGTGACTCAAAAACTCACGCCAATTTTAGGTATGACTTTCTTGTCATGCCGCTTGTTGGAATGACTTTTCTCATAAAACGCATTGCCATTCACGTGAAATGAGGGCGTGACTCACATGTCATGCCGTTTAGCGGCGTGAATTTCACGCCAATTTTTGACGAGACTTTTTGTCACGCCATAATTTGGCCATGTGTCCGACCATTACGTTTTCAGTGTGCTGACCTACTCACCTGTACTTCTCCGCCAACGCAGCGATGCTGACTCGTGGACAAGACGCCGGATGCGTCGTCGTGATGTACCGTTCCAGCCCCTGGACGCCCATGGTGCAGCCGAAACCTCGTCAGACTCTCTTATGTTTACTACCGCTTACCTGATACAGAAAACAATCATCAAGGTTTGTCGCGGGAGCAACAACCGAGAGTCTGTTAGCAAAGGAAGGGCATGGCAAAGACGATTGCTCGTTGACTCGATACTAAAAATGTATGTTGGTTGCTAGATGTCTACCTATCAACCACATTTACATGGTTGTGAGCTTGACATGGATGTGAACACAGTGGACAATTAGGGCAACACACTCGTAACCAACGGGGAGCGCCGGCAAGGTTTACAGGCAAGCAAATAAACCCTTTCAGTCGTCGCTAAGAGAAGAACGAAAGTAATCAAAACGCCAGAAACCACCAAGAACGTTCCCACTGGTCGCTGTCCTTAAATTTACCATTATTCTTCACTCGGTGGCGATTGAAAGGGTCTAAAAGGTTGATACACTGAAGCCTGCGCCATTCCCATCAAGGCATTAGAATGCAGGGACACGTCTTGGCGTAACGAACTTAAATGCAATTCTCCTTTCTCGAAACTCGATTGGGACATCATATTAGAGAGTAAAAAGTATCATAAGTTGAGGTGCTAGCTGAGTAAACTGGATGTTTGGAATTACCATCCCCGCGGAAACTGGCCAAGTGAAGCAGTTTCAGGACTCACACAATTTCTCTTATTCAAACACTACTAGCGAGGCCTGCAAAAGAACAAAAGCCGGAAACAGTAGCCAAAACAATGATTGTTTACGGATTAAGAGTGTTAATTCTCATCTGAGAAGTCAAGACAGCTTAGTGTTATAGAATTTGATTTAAATCTGCCAAAACCCCCGCAAAAGATCGATTTCATGTACTGTTTCCGGTCTACGTTCCTCTTGTTTTATCATTTCAGGCCCTGATAGAAGTGTCAGAGTGTTCCATAGGACTTTATATCTTTATCGTTTCGAAGTCAAAGCAGCAAACCGAAACACTTTGACTTTGATGGAAGGATCTCTCCTAGCTGTAAGGTGTGTTGGTGGTCCTGGACCAGAAGTTTACAGGCGTCATGTTGTGGTTGATGTATCATAGGGTGAAGAAACGAAGCTCAAATAACCCGGTTGCTATTCAATATTGTGACCAGTGAAAACTAGGTGGCAATGCATTTGAATTCCTAGAACACATACAGGGTACTCCGATAGATAGCCGGAGCGGAAGCGAAACAGGAATATGGAATAGCAAAGAAGGCGAAAGTCATGAGATTGGGCGTGTCGTCTGCGTCTCCACGCTTCCACTGACCTTGGTTCCTAAATAGGTCCGGCTTAAGTTCGTCCTCATTTCCTCGTAACGTCCGCCCCAGCTCTACTCCGAAACACGCTGTGTCACTTATGTTTCAAACTTCACGAAAGCACTCAACGAAAGCAGCAACGGATTCTTGGTCAAAGAATGAAAGTGAGAACTAAACCCGCTGCGGGACATGCACCAACCTTTCTCTTCCCAAGACCCCTACAGCCGTTACCAAGTCGCTCGGTGGAAGGTCTATCAGCGCATGCGCAGAAGCGGTTGTTCAAATAGACACTTCCCCCAGAACGCCGAGTGAAAATCAAGAGGAATAAGAAGCACCGAAACCAGTACCCAAAATCATCTAACTTGGAGGTTTAGATGGTTACAAGTGATGGAACGCATCCTGATGTAGTTTAAATCAATTTTCCAGAACCCAAAACATAAAGTTAACAAATAAGCGACTTTTGGGACTGTTTCCGGTTTCTATTATTCTTCTTCTTCACCACACGGCGCTCTGGTGGAAGTGTCTACGACTTTCATCCAGATCCAGTGACTTCTGGTCTGGGGACTACAACTACCCCACGAAACCTTGCGTACCTCTCCGGGGCTCCAATCCCGAGGTGACTCGCCGGCGGAGTCCGAGCTGCATGAACAGAGTGGGTAAAGGCGCACGTCCGCCCCGTCGTCCTGCACTGCTCGGACCGCACTGCGGCTGCCGTCCGGTTGCAGAGCGGAGAGCCTGCTGAGCCAGCGCGAGGGGAATACCTCAGACTGGCGGAGTGGCGGTTACGCAGTGCTCTGCTGTCTTGCGTGGCGGATTGTGATAGGACAGCAACTTTATCCATACACTGTAAGTGTATGTACCAGTCATTCCCGGGACGTGGCATCACGTTAGGACAAAATGTCACGTTCTTGGGAGCATTATGCCACACACGTTCGGACGTGATCAGCCATAATAGATCCAAAGAAGCTCTGGCCTGGAAGAAGAAGAACAAAAACGGAAGTAAGAAATTGCAGTTTCTATGAAAAATATACGCTGCGCATGAGGTCCGCAGCATATGTTTCTCACTAAAACTGCAATACCTAACTTCCATTTTTGTTCTTCTTTCAGGCCAGAGCTTATTTGGATCTATTATGGCTGATTCACCTTCAGACGGATGAAACACTATGCCCACAGGAACGTGACATTGAGTGAATATTGTTGGAGATGTCAAATTTATAGTTGAAGTTACAGTTGAATGCACTCATGAACTTTTCTCATTGCTTTCTCCCCTAACATCACACGTTTCGCCCCTTGTTTAAAATCGCACGCATGCGTTCAAAACTAACTGTACGTTACGCTCATGTTTTTTTTAAACTGTAACGTCACGCACTACATACTTTCTAAATCATTACGTGCAACGGGACTCGGGTGAGACCATTTCAATCCCCTCCTCCCCCTCAAAAAAATGTTACGCAGTGTTACGCTCCCGGGTACCCTCCCCCTTCCTGCGTAACGCTACGATACAAATATCACTTCATGATTAGCTGCGTTCAAATCTGGGCTATAAGGTCATTTTCTTCTGTTAAACCCCTCTCACGATTGCGAGATATTCCTTCTGAACTTGAGGGGAATTCCAGTACGGCCGCCGCGATGCAAGAACATGAAATAAACCCTCGTTAGCAGTTTTGTCGGCTTGACATCTTCGGACGCTTCTTCTCCCGCTCAGAATAGATTGAACCCTCTAGGAAGTCTTAGTACGTTATGATCTAGCGGCGGCCCGTCCGGATCTAATTTTTGATTCCATTGGCGAAGCGTTACGCCGTATCTAGCGCAGGTAGCGTGCGAATTCTACACCCTCAGATTCTTATGAAGAAAGGACCATTGTAACATACAATGAAATGTGAACATACGTACTACAATAAAATACATGCGTAATACGATGAAAAATTAGGCATATTACGTATGTGCAGATTTATGCGTACCTTACGATGAAAAACCATTGTAATACGTGTTAAAACGATCATAAGATGTTGAGTGTGTACATTGCTCCTTTGGGCCTCCGTAGGCTTTTAATCACCCTGTAAACCTTACAAACTATTTTCGGCCTTAAAAAGAAACGTAGCTTGTTATAACAAGGTGCTGCGAGCAAACATTAGATAAGAAATTACTCCGTAATTCCCGAACTATTTCTTTTGTCCTTAGATTGCTCTATGTAAGCGTAAAATACTTCTTAAGGTTTTCTACGAGCACGGAAAGTTAGATTGACTGCGCGCCTTCAGAAAGAATCACGTGCCGGCCGTGCGTCGGTACCGCTCCACTGTTAAGATTACCCGCCGTGTTGCGCCACTGCGAGTTGCGGTATTCCCTCCACGCTGCGGATGGAAGCAGCACTTCCGGCACGCTGAAGAAGCGGACGTCTGAAGTGGAAAGGGAACTTGCGTGCTGAGCTGACAGCCTCCGAGGGTCGCCACGCGAGTTCCGTGTTTAGCACATTGTATACGCATTTCACGTCGCTCAAATTGTGTCCTGCCCTGTTGCGTAATCTTTTTAGAGCTCTTGGCGCGTTAGTGTCAAGGTAACTCACATTTAAATCCATGCTGGCCATTTCATTATGAAGTCGCTATGTCTCAAACATGTGAGTTTCATTCGTAGTTTTCAGGGGTGTATTAGACTTCCTCACGCGTAGAAGTCGAACTAGCTATTCGGAACAACCTTGGTAAATGGTTTGATTTTCATAGCGGTTCAGTCTTTCACTCTCTGCCCGACCTACTGAACACTGGAGGTTATGTTGGACGTCACGAAGCACCGTCAACACTTCCCTGGCGTTTTATCATAGTTCAGTTCGGCAGGCATCGACTCATTCATTGCGGTGCCATACTTAATGGGGAATGCCCACAATTCTGGTCCGGATGTAACTTCTCCCAAGCTGGTCCGGATACAGGACTGCTTGTGTTAAGATAGAGGGTATCTTGGCAAATGAGCCTGTTACGCTGTGTTTCAAGCGTAAACTGACCAAGGTAAAAAATCAATCGTGGGTAACATGTTTGAAAGATGCATATTGAAAATATTAATTTTGGACAAGCAGCCAAAGTAGCTTTGAGACGTTTCCATATGATCCGATCCCTGGACTACGTCTGTCGCCCTCGTTCACCGAGCTACAGCCGTTGTAAGAACAGGCTACTGTGGCCCACAATTTTTGGAACCAATCGTGGGTCAGCAATTTCGAAGGCTACCCGGGCGTCAAGCCTTTTAGCCTCAGACATCCGCGCTGTTTCAGGTGACTCAGGAAGGTTGAGAGAAGACCCATTCGGAATTTTTAAGTCGATTCGCTCATTCATGGATTTTTAGCGGCCCGCCAAACAAAATAGCCCATAATTGATTCGTGACCCACATTTTAATTTTTTACCTTACGCTTGAAACCAGAGGGTATTTACTAATCTTGTGATTTTGCGTTAAACTGCATAAGTTTAGGTGAATTTGAGAATTTTGACAGTCGGCGCCCAATCTGAATCCAATCAGCACATGGCGTTAGTTGTCCCTAATCAAAATCTGTGACACCTACATGATACCTGACGGCGCATGTTAGTTTGAAAATGAAAATTAATATGGACGCCATATTTCAGTGATTTGACGACTGAGGAGTTTTAGCCACACTCTCATTCCAGGAACGTGACACCACGTTGAAACGAACGTGACAACATGTCACGTTCGTTTGAGCATTGTGTCACGTTCGTTTTAATGTGAACACGCTGATTTTTGGCCAATTCACACCCAAACGAATGTGACACAATGCTCAAACGAATGTGACATTTTGTCACGTTCGTTTCAACGTGATGTCACGTTCCTGGAATGAGAGTGCACCCCTTCTGTGACGAGGGGGCCACCACTCTCATTTCAGGCGTACACAAGATTACGGGATTACGGGATATTTACTAGGGATTCCGCGTGAAATTTTCGAAAATTGGTTCGGAAACGTTGAAAAATAGCTCAGAAACGTTGAAAAATGACTAAAAACGTTGAAAAATGACAGAATTTCGTCAAGGATTACGTGATTACGCCATGGATTACCAGAGATTACCAGCCAATTTGTACACAGGCTTACGGGGGTGGTGGCCCCCTCGTTCTGTGACGATTGTTCTCAAGCAGTCCTGTCAGTCTTGTTTGGAAGCGTTCGGAAGGCGTCGAGTTCTCACCCTGGCATGGCTCGTCTGCCGTCAGACCTCTCTATTGATTCTCTCCATTTTGATTTTATGAAAGTTTCCTTTCATTTTCAGGATCAGGCTTGAACGTCGCCTAATTTGATCATCGATGTCTTCAAGTCGGCCCGTCTGGCACAGTAAGTCACTGCTGTTCTTACCATCGTGAATTTGGATATCGCTGCGGGATTAGTAACTCCCGTGGTGCAAACAACTTCGAAAAAAAAATACACCGTTATTTAAAATTCCTGTTATTTCAAAGGGAACGTTCACCGACATTCTAGTTGTTTTCCCCTCGGTGACTCCTCATTGTTCAACTAATTTCATCTTCAAGTCCGGTTTGGGGCAGGTGGACTTTTCAGTGGGTTTCGCCCGTAAATGCAATGGTTTTGTTCTTTTGATGTTTCCTTTGTATCTAAACGAAATCGTCTGTGATAAGAGCAATTTTGTTTGCAGTACCGAGGAAAAATCAAAAGAAAATAAACCTCCGTTTTCTTCGTAGCTGCAAATAACGCTCTTCGTAAGAAATTATCTGTGTACGCAGCGCGACGTAGCCTCCGTTTGGTCAGACATGTCAATAGTTACGGATTACGAAAGTTAACAAATATGCACTCCCAATATCCTACTGAGCTTTTTCTTCGTAATACGAACAAAAAGCTTAGTATTATGACAGCGCAGCGAAGGAAGTAACCTATAGTGATGAGTTCTTAGTAACTCATGACCACTTTCTTCATATTTCGATCAAATTTCTCTGTATTATGACAGATTTGAATCGTAAAGTACTGAGAATTAGCTTAGTTTTATGCGTGCACGGTACGGTATTTCTCAGTATGCAAATTGGGAGTGTGTGTCTGTGTTTTAGTGTTGTTTTCACAGTGTTGTCGCCACTGCCCTTTGCAGATGCCGCCACGGCCCCGTGCGCGGTGTGCGGCGCGGAGGGCCGGCCCTGCTCGCGCTGCCGCGTGCACTACTACTGCGGCGCGGAGCACCAGCGGCAGCACTGGGCCAAGCACCGCCACGGCTGCGGCAGCGTGGCGCTGGAGGGCGGCGTCCTGGTGGCCGTCAAGGACATCCCCGCCAACACCTGCATCCTGCGCGAGCTGCCGTCCGTCGTGTTCCCGTGCCAGCCGCACTTCCTCACCAAGCAGGACGTCGTTGTGAGTTGACGCTCACTGAGAAATCCGTACAAACTATTTTGAGCATACACAAGCTTTCAAAGAAAATACTTCGTTAATTACGAACTATTTCTTCGTATACAAAGTAACACTCAGTCTCGTATTGACTTTTTATCTCCCGCCATAAAGTTTTTGTGCAAACGTAATATGTACCATCTTCTCTTTAGCTATGCACTATTTTGTTCATTGTATAATGTGTTCAGTCCATTGCAATGTGCTTTTCAATTTCTACGTGATCTATTGACAGTTATATATTTATAAAGATCAAAATTGTGCGTAGTTAAAGAGAAAATAGTACATTTTATGTTTGCTTAAAAACGTCATAAGGAAGAGAGAAAAAAGTCCATTCAGGTCTGAGAGTGAATTCAGTTTGTATAATGTATGCTCAAAATACTTCGTAAGGTTTTAAGCGTGCTCGTTCACAGTAGTTTTCACACTAAATGTTTACGTACAATTTCGTACGTGGTGATGCATAATTTTAAACCTGTGCACCGTATAGTTGTGCGTGAATTTGCCTAAATGTATGCATTTTTACGCATGATATTGTGCAAATTCCACGTGTGCACAGAATCGTGCAAGTTGCACGTACGAAATTCTACCTAAACAGTGAGTGTGCGTGCACGAACTATACTAACAACCATCGATCCATCCGCGGCAGTTGTGCGTGGCGTGCTGCGTCGACGTGAGCGGGTCGTACGCCCAGTGCGGCCGCTGCGGGCTGCCCGTCTGCAACGACACCTGCAGTCAGTCCAGCAGTCACCAGGCGGAGTGCCAGGCGTTCCAGGAGGCCGAGTTTGTGGTGCCCAAAGGTGAGTTTCCTTGCTCGCAGGCGCTCCCCTGTCGCGCTCTCGAAATAAGTGTCCGTCCACTCTGAAAACCTGTGTGAACAGTACTCACTGAAGCCCTCTTTGTGTGTGTGTGCTCAGTATTCACTTAAATTTAAATACGAGAACCGGTATGAGGGAAAGGCAAAGCAGCATTACACTGAGAATGAAAAAGTCATGATCAATGCCCAATTTTGGGTGAGGTATACTTTATCACTCAAATTTGGGTGAGGAAGGGTGTATCAGTATTATGACGCAAATTTGGGTCTAAATATCTTAAAGGTGCAGTGAATTCTCAATAATGTCCTAAAGTCAGGTGCACCAACAATGTTCAACCATGTATTCGACTTGGCGTGTTCCGGGCTCAGCTGCTCACTTTTCTCGCATTTGTTGCCCCCAGCTGACATCGAAGATGAGGACGTCCCCGTGGGAACGGCCGTGTGGATTCTGCGCGCTGCGTTGGCGTCTCTGGACAACCCGCTGCTTGACTATCTGCTCCAAGACCTCGGCTTCGGCGACAAACCACCCAGGGTACGTAGGGCGCGTGCGCTGACACTAAATGCCATTACTAATGTCCCATGTCATATTGTGTGTCGAACGCAGTCAAGTGAAATTAGTGACTCCGCATCGCATGAGTAACGTGGATTGCGACAGTGCATTCATTTGATGGAAAGAGATGCAGCTTACGTCGTGTAACGCCTTTACATGCTGATTAGCACAACCGGCACAACCATACTGCGTGCAGTAATTGCCATCCTATGCACGTAGACTCGTGTATTTAAAAATATGTTATTGAAATTGTGAAACGCCTACTGCTTGTTGTGCTTTTATTAGACAATTTGTGTCGCCAGGTGTTGACAACATTGTACATATCGTTGTCGGATGTGCTCAAAATTGTATGATTCATGTACTGTAAACATACACTGTGAATGAAAAAGTATCGATCAATACCTAAAGGGGGGGGTAACTTTATCACCCAATTTGGGCCTTGGAGACTACGTCGCCCAAAATTTTAGTCTTGTTTGTGCCTCTTTCATTGCCAGTGTAGATCTCCATAATTTCGGAAGGTACCTCTGGCAGAAAAGTTGCCGAAGGCACCTTCGCAAATTACTCTTGGCAATTTACGACGATTCTCTGTAATTTTCAAAGACTCTTCGTTTATCTTTTAACAACTCTCGTAAGTTCACGTCGATTGTTCGTGCATAACATTCTTCTTATATCACGAACAATCTTAGTGAACATACGAAGGAGCCATTGGTAACATTTTTAATCGAGGGGGCAACCACGTACGGTGTAAGGGGACACAAGATTTCTCAGGACAAGAGCTTTCGTCGGATTTCAGCCTAAAATCTGCCTGTTAACGGCCTTTTGTGGGAAAGAATTTGATTTTCCAGAGATTTCTAGAGCTCAAGCTCAAGGGACACAGGATTTCTCGAGTGGTTTCCCCCTCGTTTTTAAGAGAGACACCCCTCGATTCCAATATAATTCGTACAGTGTGGGACATTCTGCTGCCTAACCATTGTAAGAGATTCTCAGTGTGCTGCGCTTTGCCGTGGCGTGATGTTGCAGAGGTTGCCGGCGGTGTGGGAGACCGTCAACCTGAAGGTCAACACGCGTGCGGTGCGCTACCTGTGCGACGCTGTGGGCATCAAGCGGCTGTCCGAACGGGACCTGCACCGCGCCGCCCACATGGTCATCTCGTATGCCAGCGCGTCCCACGGCCCGCTTGTGAACAAAGAAGGCCAGAAGCCGGTCAGTCTTAACACCGCAAAATTTTGCTGTCACCTCGGGAGGTCCCATCCGAAAGTTCTGACCTTTCACTCTCAGCACGTTATTGACCTTTTGCTCATTTTGTCAGTACTTATGCAAGTCATTTGTGCAACCATCTTTTTTATAGAACTTCAAAGGAAATATTTAATAATGTACTGAGAAATTTGTCTTGTCCAAAATTTTACAAAGGAAATTAGTCATATTTACTTCGCAAATAGTATTATTGCTGTTCATACGGATACCTAATTAATGAGGTAAAAGTCAGTAACGTGCTGAGAGTGTACAGTTTCTGCCTCTGTAAGAAAAATTATGAATAGTGCAACAAACGTAACAACTGTACAGGAAAAGTATAACAGGGATTGTAGAGAGTACAACGAGAATTGCGCAGAACACAACCAAGCCCGGACTGCACAGCCATCGTCATGCCGGTTCCATTGTACTACTTTTTACAACAATTGTTGTACCTAAAAAGTTCAATGAAGTCCTGTCAAAAATTTGCCAGGAATTTGTGTACGTTGGTTGTGTTTTATTTCTTGCAGTGTGAGAAAGAATCTAGTTTGAATCGCAAGTGAATTCTGTAAGTTTGTTCATGTGAGGCAGTTCATGTAATAATAGGTTATTATATAATTCGCTCCAACTGGAACAAGCAAGATTTAAAGAATAGTGGTGCTTCTTGAAACGTACTCACCTTAGTCTCTCATCCGCACTGTTAAAAAAATCAGTTGTAATTTTCATAATATTGGTTGGCATTTTTTTTCACAAACAATTGTTATGAAAATTAAAATCACAAATGATTGTAAATTGTTTTACAATCACGTTATGAAAATTCATATCATGTTATGAAAATTCATATTCGCGTTTGCGAGGTCATTTTAGAGCAGTTAAGCAAAAGGACAACTAAGTGTTCATGTATATGAACACCCAAGCGGCCTTATGCCATTTATTGAACCGATTCTGCTTTTGATCAGCGGGTTTCGAACCCGGGATCTTTGACTTGTGGTGCACGCTCTTTACCGCTGTGCTACCACGTCCCACGGGAGGCGGAGGGTCAGCTACTGATGACTCTACCAGCGCCCCTTGGCCACGCCTCTTGAGCTAGTTATGAAATTTACAATCGGATTCGGAAAATTACTATTGTGTGCTCAAAATCAACATTTAAGATTCGCAATTTTCAGAACATGGTTTTAAAATTACCAACAATTGTCAATTTTACGAAATTGTTTCGAATTTTCGCATCAAGTTATGAAAATTGCAATGTTTGTAAAATTCATATCCGTATTCGTAAAATTGTCATCAAAATTGCTTTGAAAATTCATAACTTTTGTAACAGTGCGTTCCAAATGATCAAACGTCTCGAAAAGTTCTCGCGTTGCTGCTAAGATGCTTTATCCGGAAACGGACCGGATAAGATCGTTCATCTCGAAGCCGAAGAGTTAACTCCTGTTAAGAGTCAACCTAATTTTCGTCTAGTTAATAGCCATGCTTTTAACAAAAAGAATGTTTATTCCATGTTTACTTAAGTGGGTCTGTGTTATTTAATGGGGCAGGGTGAAGTGATCTTGCCATGTACCCATTTTTTATATATAAGTTGTCGACAAAGAGCCGTGTACACTCTTCAGTTTTCAGAATTCTTTTCCCGCCATGTGTACGAATGGCACATCTTTGTATTTCAGGCCCACGTCGGCGTCCTTTTCGTCGGGCTGTCCTTGAGGAAGCACAGCTGCTTCCCCAACTCCGCTGACAGAGTGATGAAACCTAGGACGGACGAGTATATGGTCGTGACTACAAGAGATGTGGCTGCCGGCCAATGCATCACTATAAACCGCCAGGTTTGAATTTTCCCGCCCGTGGCGTTCCTTCGGGTCCTGCACGTCAATTATTTTCAAAGTATTGTCAAATAGAGTACTTCAGAGAAGCTCTGGCCCGGAAGAAGAACATAAACGGAAGTAAGAAATTGCAGTATCTAAGAGAAATATACGCTGCGGACCCTTATGCGCAGCGTATATTTCTCATAGATACCTCAATTTCTTACTTCCGTTTTTGTTCTTCTTCTTCCGGGTTAGAGCTTCTTTGGAGTACTCTATTGCTTTGAAGGTGTCTCTGTTTATTATTGGGTGCTCACGATATTTCAGAGCACAATTGCCGATCAGCGTACGATTTTGTACGACAGTTCACTGTAAAAAATTCTGTACTTTTGTAAGGAAATGGTACGGACAAATATAGAACGGAAGTACGGAGAATGCTCCATTTGAACCCATGTAAACGGGTACGGAAAAAAAGTACGGAAGTTCCGTAGTTGGCAAGTACGGACGGTTCAGGCAAATTATTGACCAGACATGTTCCGTCCTTTTTTCTCTCAGTGTTTCGTGTTCCGATATGGGATAAATCCTTCTTGGCACAAGATGCGGTTGGTTGAGAATCTAGGATGTTGTATTTTCAGTCTCGTAGGGGGCGTCGGAGTCTTATGTCGACCATAAAGGAGACAATGTTTGAGTCGCTGTTGTATTTGAATAACTGATGATTCTTCGTTTTCGTTCCGTCAAAATTAGGCACCAAAATTAAACCTTGATTTGCCCGCACTCTAAATGTTTATGTAGCAAGTACCTTTGTGTACGTGGAGCTGCATGACTTTAAACCGGTGTAACGTTTCCCCCAAATTCGTGCTCACATTTGCATGAACTTATGAGTTTTTACGCACAATATTAGGATAACTCTACGTACGCACAAAATCGTGCAAGCTCCTCGCTCAAAATTCTACATTAACATTTGGTGTGCGAGCTTGCCCGGTTTCCGTGACGATAACCTTCGGGACGTTCTTTATTTTTGCCTCTATCCTCGTCCTTCCAGGGCGGCACGTGGTTCGACCACACGCGAGAGCGCCGCAAGAACGTGATGTTGCGCTGGGGGTTCGTCTGCGACTGCGAACGCTGCAGCGACCCCACCGAGCTGGGGATGTACGTGGACTCGCCCTGCTGCGCGGCCTGTGCAGGTAAGCATCCACGCCCTGCACTGTAAATGTCTTACGGTGAAAGGCTGCACCAACATATTATGGCGGGGATTTTCTCCATAATACCAACAAAATTCGTCAAAATACACTGTGGCAAAAAGCTACGGAAAATCCTGTAAACAGCTTGTGGTAATTCTCCGTATTCTCCGTAGGATCTTACAGTGTTTTCCGAAGGACTATACAGTCTTTCAGGTCCTACGGAGAAGACTGTGCGGACTTACAGAGGATACTGTACGGCCCTACGGAGAATGCTATTATTGCTAATTAATGCTAATATTGATAAGAGGGCTACGGAGTATCCTGGCAAAAAAATAACAGTATTTTCCGTACCTTTTTGCCACAGTGTATCTATAAGGTATACAGTGAATTCTCAATGGTATGTTACGAGTTCAGCTGCACCACCATAACATGGAACATTTTCACCATAATATGGGGAATCTTCACTGTAGAACATTTAGAGTGTGGAAACCTTACAAACTATTTTTAGGCAGCAGCTTGTCATAACAAAGTGTTTTGAGCATACATAAGCTTACAAGGAAAATACTTAGTTATTTATAAACTATCCTTCGCTTAGAAAGTTAACTAATTTGTACCGTGCTCAAAATTCTTCGTAAGGTTGTAAGCGAGGGGTCGGCAACTTCGTACGCGGTGGCTATATTACCCGTATATTACCATTATATTACCATATATTACTTGCATATTACCTCAATTTCGCCTCTATAATACCCCTATATTACTATATATTACTTTGTATTATTTTATATTACACATATATTACCTATACACTGAAAATTGAATGGTCGGACACATGGTCAAATTATGGCGTGACAGGAAGTCACGCCAAAAATTGGCGTGACAGGAAATTCACGCCGAAAAACGGCATGACGTGTGCGTCACGCCGTCATCTGGCGTGAATGTTCTGTGTGCATTGGTGCGTAGTCATGCCAAACACCGGCGTGACAGGAAATTCACGCCAAAAATTGGCGTGAATTTCTGAGTCACGCCGATTTTTGGCATGACTTTTTTGTCATGCCGTTTTTTGGCCTGACACTAAATTCACGCCCCTGCAGCGGCACGAAGTCACGCCGATAGATTTTTAGTGTATTACTGGTAATAAACGTATACTCCCTCGAGCACGGCCAAGGGAAGTTGCCGACCCCTCGGTTGTAAGCGTGCGCTTCATTTACACAGGTGGAGTGGCTTGTACACTGTCACTAAACGAGTCCAACGTCATATTCGGTAGAATATTAATTTGTGTCACGTTCGTTTGCAAGTGACTGGGCCGTAGATCAGCAAGCAATGTGACGTCATTTTTAGGCACACTCTGTAAATCTTACAAACTATTCAAGCCTTGCGAAATAAAGAAGTTTGTTAAACTAAGTTGCATGCGCATATACGTATGTTTTCAAAGAAAATATCAAGTTAATTACGAACTATTCCTTTGCACGACAAACAAATGAGTATGTACCTAACACATGAGCGATCTTTCCTCTTTGTTTTGTACTAAAGTCGCTAGTGTTCTGCCTTTTCCAACAGAGCGTGGCAAGCAATGCTTCTTGGTGCCGGTCGGGGACGAAATCCGCAATGACTGGTCCTGTGAGGGTTGCAAGAAGTCGTTGCCACTGCCCGAGGTGAAAGGTCTAACGAAGCCAGCAGAAGACCGGTTGGAAGAGCTTTTAGGTAAGTAGTGGCAGGACCGAAGGACTTTTCGTTATATAGACCCCGCCCCCGTTAAAAGCAGCACATTTACTTCCTTAGAAAATTTGTCTCTGGTCACCACGGACTTACTTAAAATACTTCGGTACGCGCCCCACACATGCGGGGGTCTGGGGGCGGAGCCCCCATCGAGCGTCGCGAGTTATTCTTATATAAATAGGTGGACTTTGTATTTTAGAGAAATCGTGAGTCACTGATTTGCACTGAAGATAGTTCGAGGACACTGTTAGGTACCTCTACTGTTCAGATAGTTCTAAATCCGCACTGACAGTTAAGGTTGTCTTATATTTGCTCTGGCAGTTCGGACTGTTCTATTCGGAGGCGTCGAATTTTGGCCAGGGGCACCGGCATCAATATTTTTCAGCAGCTGATACCTTCAGTTCTCAAGAAAGTTGAGGACACGATAGTTGTGTGTTCCCGAGTCGTGTGTTGTTGTTTTTTGTTGCTGTTTGCAGTGGCCGCAATTTTCTAGTTACTCTGGCACCGATGTTTCTATGACCGGATCTATTTGCTCAGATTCTTCGACGGAGGAGTTGTTGAAGTTCATCGCTGAGCACTCGTACCCGCGGGGCCCCTTGCACCCCACCCACGCCTTGGTGCTGCGGGCCAGGAAGGCCTTCCTCTCGGACAACCACTTGCGCCGGGCCATGCGGCACATGTTTCAGCTGAAGGAAGTGGGGCTCAAACGTGAGTGAGCGATAACGATTCACTAAATGCTTCTGGACTTTTTGTAGGGTACCTGAGTATTTGTGGACTTTTTGTACCTGAGTATTTGTGCAAGTTTGAGTAATGGACGGATTTGTTCCTGAATTGAGTCCTATTTTGTACATGCCGTGATATGAAAATTGTTCCTAATTTATGTTTTAAATTATGCACAGCGTACATATTTACGAATTTTTCACTAATTCTGAACACGGCCGCATATTTCACTCTAAGGCGAGTTGTTAAAATGCCCACCCGGGGGCGTCATTTGCAGCGTACCTTGAGGCCTTTCTTGCAAGCTTTGTGCTTGTTGCGTCAGCTAAGCTTGCCTTCCAGCATGTTCTTTTCGCTCCTCTCCTGCATCTCCAAATGCATGACAGCATTTCTTCGCTGCCCCTGACTGCAAGCGTAAAGTCTCCAGAGCGTACCACTACGCATCAGTTACACCAGTGCTGGTGACATTAGATTTATAAGATCCTTCAATCTCATTCCAGGAACGCAACATCGCGTTTAAACTAATGGGACAAAATGTCTCGTTCATTTGAGCATTGTGTTACATTCTTTTGAATGAGCTAATTTATGGCTGATTCACATCCAAACGAATGTGGCACAATGCTACAAGGAAAGTGGCATTGTGTCACATTCGTTTAAACGTAATGTTGTGTTCCTGGAATAAGAGTGTACGTGACTCGACTTTTTCCCCTCAGAATCCTTCACTGATAAAAATTCTGTCGTATCTTAGCGACACATTTATTGCTCATTTTTTTAAGCGACAAGATTTGTTGTGGAACAAATAGCTTGTTAAACCGTACTGGAACGACAAACTTGTAATGACACATTAACAGTCCACCTTCGAAAACAGGTCGTTGACCAACAACAAATGATGCAAACAAGCATTGTAAGTTGGAACAGATGTTGTAATGTCTACGTGAAGTATTGATTGAGTACTTTTGTCACTAAATTTATTTTTATTGTTCTGCTTTCAACAATAGTAATTTCCCTGTGACTTAAAAGAATAAAATAGAAGTTTATTCATAATATTCCTTCATTTTACAGATAATGTCAAAAGATGTTGTTTGCACACAAATTGTACCAAGAATAGTGATAACAAGAAATTTGTTCTTCCACGGCAAATTGTCGCTTACTAAATTCAACGACATTTGTTACGCTTTGGTTCATGATGACATTCTAATTTTCACTCATCTGATTGTTCCTGTACAACCATTTTTTAACAGTGTTGAAGAGGTCACATCGGGAGCAGCTTCAAATTTCAATGCAATTTGTGACCGGCTGCGTAGAGGTGATCACTGAGCAGCTCCGAGCCCTGAACCGCCTGCTGCCCGGCCTGACCAACCAGCGCTTGTCCTTGCTGTGCGAGCTGCGCTGGCTGACACTCTTCAAGCTGGACTGGCTCAAGACTGCCGCCAGATGCCTGCGGACTCCGGTTAGTGCGATAGACCCTGCACAATGGACCAGAAGACCGGCGCAGGTGGCCAATACTCTGGGTGCGTTTTGAGCTGCAGAGTCACTAGATGGGACTCGAACCGAACGTGTGACCCCTCCAATGGATGGCTTTCCACACGAGGAATCTATCGTAAGGGTCACACGCTCGTTTTGAGTCCTGTTTAGCGACTGTGGAGCTCAGATCGCGTCTGGAGTTTTGGCCGCCACTACGCCACCACCGGTCTTCTGCTGGCCCACTGTGGAAGGTGAACTTCTTGCTGGGCAGTTATTTGCAAGTTCGTATTCAAACGATGAGTGCAAACCACAACCTAGGGTAATTTGAGACACTCCAAACCCCTCAGTTTAGTCGTGAAGAAGGTCACGGTTGGATACCCGGGCACTCCACTGAAAAACCAAACGTGGTCCAGACCGCACCACTGGTGTGGTCAGATGGATGCCATTTTGACCACATCAGTTGGTGTGGTCTAGACCACGTTTGACGACGTATGGTGCGGTCTAGACCACGTTTGGCCACGTTTGGTGTGGTCTAGACCACACCAAACGCACCAAACGTGGTCTAGACCACACCAGCTGGGGGTCAAAATGGCATCCATTTGACCACACCAGTTGGTGCGGTCTAGACCACGTTTGGTTTTTCAGTGTCGTCTAGATATACTAGTTACCTTGGTTTAACAGGGACAAGTCATAAAATGATACTAATTAGTACGTACTAAAAAGCATGTGTCTCATTTTACCCCTGTTGTCTCACTGCCAATGTGCATAATCTCACGTTATCTCGTGCACATCTGTCGCACACGCTTATTATAAGCTTATTATAAAACCTTACAAAGTATTTTGAGCATACATAGCACAAACTTATTTAGTCTGTTCTACAACGAAATAGTTCGTAAATTACGTAGTATTTTCTTTGGCAGCTTATGTATGCTCCAACATACTTTGTTATCACAAGCTGCTTTTCTGTCTAATGACCGAAAATAGTTTGTAAGGTTTTCAGAGTGCACGCTTGGATTTTTAAGGCACAAGTTTCCGGGCTGACAGTACAAAACAGGTCCACGTATTTATCGTGATTTTGTCCCCGCAATGTTAGACAAAATAAAAGCCTTTATAGTGTTTGAAGGTGCGGAACCCTACAATTTGTTTGATTGCTGTCAGTTTTTAAACTTCGATGAATTACGCCACGCTAAGTCAGCCCTACATGGCAAAGCGGTACCTCCACGGGAAAAGATTTGCAAAGCATCGCCTCTTAATGGAAAAAAAACCAAGACAGTATTTACTCTACAACAAACTAGAGTTGCTTTGTATTTTGAAAAAAATTCCTACGTAATTCGAAGCATTCTGCTTCGTAGACTGAGAAGTGGTTTTCCCAGGCAGCCTCTAGTTGACGACAGGCGATTTTCATGACATTCCTGTCTAAAGCAGGAACAGTTTTTGCCGTGCGGATTTTCTACATGGCCTACTCACTCCGCGTGCCTCAATTCCATTTTTGTGCCGACTTGACGTACCTTTTCCGTGTTTCAGGAGACTGAGCAAAATATGGCCCATTTGACGGAGTCGCTGCTGGATGTGGAAAAGCAGATCAGGCGTCACTTCTTCTTCCTGCGCGACGACGATGAAATGGTGCAGGCAGTTATGAAGAGCGGACAGGTGACCGCCGAATCTAACTATTTCTAAGGATTGGTCACGGCATTGCCATTTTTTTTTTTTTTTTTAGTTTTGTGACGCTTGTAACAAACTTCAACTTTCAACAAGTTTGATTATTAAGTAATTACCTTATTTCTTTAACGTTTTCTCAGCCGTGTTGGCACAATATTCTACTGTTTTCTACGGTTCATTTGTAATTCCGTTGTAATAAAGGAAGCAAGTTAATCTCCATCTGATAATCTTATTTGCAAGTCTCCCATACTCCCAACAAATGGTGGGTGAAAATCTGACTGTCATTGTTGGAAATCCACATTCTTAACGAAACGACGCTTTCGCTCGTCGCTGTGAGAAGAATAAAAATAATCAATAAGCCAGGAACCAGGACGTACACCTAAAAGGACGATCCAACAATGTTGCACCGAAAAGATCACACAGCGAAATTGGCCGTAACGTTTCACCCTTATCAGGGAATCAGAATTTCTTGTCATGCCGCTTTTTGGCCTGACTTGTCTCATAATACGCGTTGTCGATCACGCCAAATGACGGCGTGACTCTCATGTCACGCCGTTCATCGGCGTAAATTTCGTGTCACGCCAATTTTTGACGTGACTTTTTCTCACGCCATAATTTGGCCATGTGTCCGACTATTACGTTTTCAGTGTTCGATAATGCGCGTCAAAGTACTATCCCTTTTCCGAGATACGTCAGAGTATCGCCCGTTTTCGGTCAGACAGTCTTTTCTCACCTCGAAGGGTGAGCTCGGTGGCAAAAAGTTACGAAAAATTCTGCAAACAGCTTGTGGGTATTCTCGGTAATCCCATTGTCAGTATTCTCCGTGGGACCGCACAGTCCTCTTCGTGGGACTTAACAGTCTTCCACGTCCTGAGAAGACTCTACGGCAGCACGGAGGATACTGTAAGAGCCTACAGAGAATCTTGGCAAAAAAAAATGGCAGAATTTTCCGTACCGTTTTGCCACAGTGAGGTATATCACAACTTGATTTACGGTGTGAGAAAAATACATCAGTATCTGGGTTATCTATTTCGTTCTGGTATCTTAAATAATGTAAAGGAGGTAAATAAAAAAACGGGCATTGAGCAAACACTAACCAGGATTTATTCTTTAGATTCTGTTTTAACAAAAACAAGGCTATTCACGCATTATGATTCTTTCTTTTGCATCTAATTTTTCAAAGTTACAGATCAATAACGCAACCAGGATTTACCATTTTATCCTGTCATTACAAACTCGAGATACTTGACGCCGTCGTTACAAGGTGACGGGGTGGACCACCTGCAGGCACTTGACAGGACAGCCCGCTCTTCTAGCGTGAGCAGAGAATGAAAAGTCACATCCCAGCGGGACATGGCAGCCCCACCGACACCATGGGCAGGCGCAGTCTTCGGGGGCTTTAGACCGCGACACTCGTAGATGGAGGCCCTTGTTGCGCAGCAGGACGTCCTGCACCGCAGGGTAATGCAGCCAGCTGTGCAGACACGTGTCACGAGGAGCCTCGACCGTCAGAGTCGTGAGGCTGGGAAGAGACGTGGGACTCACAGATCGCAGCATTTCGTCCGAAGGCACGAGACCCAGATGCAGGCATTGCAAGGAGAGAAACTCTGCTGGGATGAATGTTACAGGCCGCAGAGAGCCTATTAGCCCTTTCACGGTTAGGGCTTCAAGAATTGGGGCTGATGGCGACCTGCTCAATGCGAGTAGAAAAGCATCAGTCGGAATACTTCTGTCTTCTAACTCTAATTTCACTCTTCGAAGTTGAGACACCACACAGAGAAAGCTCTCCACATCATGAAGGAAAGCCGATAGGTTCCGAACGCAAATAAGCTCTAGACTCTGAAGGTTTGGCACCGCCACCAACTGCATGAGATCGTTGATTGGGACACAGCGCAAGCACCGCAGTCTGGGCATTTTGGACAACAAGGCAACCGGGATGTTCTTCGTGCGACGAAGATCAACTACTTCGAGAGTCTCTGCGTGTGTTCTCAGCAGAAGTTCTAGGAAGGGGTCCACCCTGCGTGATCGGTAATCAAGATGGGTCAAGGAAGGCCCGACCTCTACGTCACACCATGAAGCCGGGAGCGGCGGCAGCGACCCACCACCATAATAGGCAATATCAAGTGTCTGTAGACTAAGGTTATAAATGGCCTTAAGGAGGAGGGGCGTTTCTTCCTGCAAGTCGTCGCCAAAAAAAAGGGAAAGCTCCTTTAGTCCGCCGAGAGCAGACAGTTTGAGGAAAATGGATATAGCGTAGGGGACCTCATCACTTGCGCATACATCAGAGTCAAGCATCTCGACGACACATGCGGTGCTGAGCACATGTGAGGCCAGGGCCCTCATAGACAAAGCCTCTGGTCGTCTGATCGAAGCGAGGCACGGGGCGAGAGCGAGGGCCGCGCGGATCATGCCCGCCTTCCGCAACTTGACGTTCTTCCACAGGGCCGGGTGCAGGCAGATGTCGCGTAGTCGACGGCACACGACGCGGCACCTGAAGAGCTCCCTCGGTGGAAGCAGGGCCAGCACGGCCAGCAGTGCCTCGTCCGGCAGGGAAAGTAGCTGCGGGCAGAGAGGAAAACATTCTCAGGCTGGTTATGTCCGTCCGCATCGTATGACGTTTCGGTGCTCTGCGAACTGAAGTGTGTACATAGTACACTCTGATTAGAGCATGCTTCCAAGCACACTGTTATTAACAGCATACTTGCTAGACACACGCTAAAACAGAGTGTACATGGCATGTACTCGCTAAATTAGAGTGTACCTGGCAAGTACACTTAAACTGGCCCATGCTTTTAGATAGGACCAATCGAGTGTATATAGCGTGTACTCACTGAACCGTGTAGGAAGGCCATGCACTAATAACGTGGCAAAATGTCCCATGCTTGCAAGGTGGGACACGGTTTGCCACGCTTGAATAAGATTTGTCCACGTTACACACACCGTTTGTCAGCTTGTAAGTTACAGGGATTTGCCCCGTTGTAAGGTGGGACAGGTTTGTCCACGCTTGAACGTGAACACGGTTTGCCCCACGTTGCAAATAATTTTGTCCCACGCTTAAAGGTGGGACATTTGTCCCACGTTATGTAGTGCATGCCTGTCCCACACTTGGTTAATAAAGTGCTTGCAAGGTACAATTTTAAATTTAACGTGTAGTGCAAACACTCTCCTTCGCTTTCAAAGGGGCCTGGTTAATAAGATGTGCTTGGGGTTTTCCCTTAATGTAGAGTGTACTAGTACACCCCAAACCCAAACCCTGAAAAGAGTCTTCGTTTGCTTAAATAAGGGGGTTGCACCTAGTTTGGAAAATCATTCTCACACGAAACGAAATTTGTTCGAATACAGAGAAAACTTTGCGGGTGCAAAGAGGATTCACACGGGGAGGAAACAAGGAGTAATCCACCTTGCTTTAACAATTTCAAAAGTGTATGTGGTACATCTTTCTCAAACTATTTGCGTTTCAAATGGTTCCTTCGGTAGGAGCGAACCCATTGCCCTAAAAGGGAGTTAAATTTGTAGGGCGTCCGCAATTAACCCAAACCCAAAGAACGTCTTTTTCCCGAAGGGGGTTACCCAAGGAAATCTTATTAAAAGTTTTGTTCTTAACGAAATTTAAAAAGGCGCAAAAGTTTCATCGGAGGAAAATGGATTTTATTTGCGTTACGGGGCAAATTGTATGTGTTCAACAGTTTCTCAAAAATTTGTAAAAGTTTCTTCGCAGGCCGAAGACTGTCCTCGGGGGAGTAAACTGTGAGGTCCTACACACAGTGTGGTCGACAGCAAAACTTTAAGAGCCTTCTTACGAATTAAAGGGCGACGACACATCATGCGTGAATGTTCCCGAGAAATGTATGCAACGCACTTTCCGGCCAATTAAAGACACACTACCTCCTCTGCTGAATCAAGGCAGCGAGACCCAACACCACTGCACCCTCCAAAGAAAACGTGCAAGGAACACATTTAATAGGGTACTCCATTAAATCTTGAAACGGAAGAAGAAGAAATGTAGGCCCCAAACACAGCTTCTGCGCATGCGCAGACGTTCTCCCACCACCCGGTGCGCATGCACAGAAGCTGTTTTTAGGACTTACTATTGTTCTTTTCCTTCCGTTCCAGTATTCATTGGTGTACCCTTTAAAAATGCATCGAAAAACATAAATGAGGTAGAAATAGTGTCTCTCATCAGACGGAAAGATCAGACGTTGGAGCGTATAATGTTACGCTCAGACAACCTTCCGTAACGCAACGTTACTCCACGACAAACCTCAGTGTCTACACGTGCACACTTATAAACGCATACTTGACCAAGTACACACTTACACACTCATCCTTCCATCACCATTTAACAATATTCATTAAGAAGATAAAAAGATGGTCGAGACGTAATTGATGACAATGTTACTAAAATAAAATTCTAAATGTTCACACGCTTCTTTGAGAGCACAAAAGTCAACTCGTTGTAACACGAAACTCAGCACTAATCTAAGAGTGTACAAATGCTTGGCGCCGTCTCACTCCACGGTACGCATGGGCATTCACAAGTGTAAACTTTGCCAAGCATGCAATTGTGTGTACTTACAAGCATGCACTTCTGAGTGAGACTTACTTTGTAGACAGTTAGCTTTGTAGCGCAAACGCTCGCACAGACGCCGAAAGGTACTTACGGTGTCCATGGCGACGAAGGACCTAACCAAGGCCAAGATGGGAGGGCGCGTGGGCGAGCTGGAAGGTCAGACTGTCCGGGCGGGAGAATCAGCGCGACGTCCGATGCCACTCCAGCAGGATGGGGTGCTTCTCCTACAGCAATGAGCGATGTGTAGGCCAGGGGTCCTCGACTTGCAGCAACGGCTGACGGCGCGGCGGCTGACGACACCCGGAAACTGTGCAAAAGAGAGTCCGGTAAGTTCTCTCACGAGTGGGGGTGCTCAGACTGAGGCGGCCCGGGCCGGAAGTCAGGAGCCAACATCTGCACCGGAAGAACAATTCAGATAGGAAACCCCCGATAGGAAACCCCCGATAGGAAACTCGAATGAATCTCGGAAGGGAACGAGAGCAAAAGTAAGCCCTAATAACAGCTTCTGCTCATGAGCACCGGGTGGTGGGGTAACGTCTGCGCATGCGCAGGAGACGTTGTTATGACTCACTTTAGATCTTATTCCGTTTCAAGATTCACCCTATTGCTCATTAGGAGGCATACATAGCTGCGTGAATGTGTGCAGGCACCAACGACTGCTACGCAAGCCCGACTTTATATATTTCGTCAGTATTTGAGCCGTTACGTCGTCTGAGGGGCCGTCCATTAGCAGGGTACTCCCATGGCTCTTGGATCCAAACAAGAAAAACAAAAGTGAGACCTATAAACAGCTTCCTCGCATGCGCATTCCCGCACCCCCGTGCACAAGCGCAGAAGCTGTTTCAGGACTTGCTGTTGTTCTTCACACTCTCAGACTCGCTCTTGACTTTGAGTATATCACATTGTTACTTTGTCTGTAGCACCTCGGAACAACAATACATGCTTTCCGCTTTTAAAGTTTTTTTTTTCTTTTTAATCAATTTCTGGTTGCCCATGGAGTTAGACTCCTCTTTTGGGCTGTACATTTGATTGTTTGCATTTACATATTTTTAGTAGTTGCTTTCAAATAAATTTTCCTATATAATTTTCGGAATGAATTGTACGTATTCAAGAAGAAACTACTACATATTATTGTTATGGGTAATAGTATACCTGGTTACGGACAAGAAAGTCACTGGGCTGAGAGTGCATCTTCCGTTTCAAGATTTCATATAAGTACCGTATAGCGCAACGCACTTCTAACCACTTTTTTGACTCCCCCGTCCCCCCATGAATCGCGGCGTTACGCTAGCCCAGACCCTCCGCCCAACGTACCGTTACTTACTAATTATGATCGGAATGCGACTTTTGCCCTAGTTTACTGCTTATTGTTTTGAAATGTGTTCTCGCTCTCAAATGTTTCATACGTAACCACTTTAAAATTAAAATAGACACTTCTAGCCAAGAGGATCATACACCGGAAACAGTTCTAGAAATCGGCCTTTTTCGGGGGTTTTGGCAGGTTCAAGTCTAATTGTATTACAAAATTATGCTTCCTTCAATTTATGGATTGAGAATAAACATTCGTCATCAAGAAATAAGCGTAATTTGGCAACTGTTTCCGGCGTATGTTCTTCTTGTTCTTCACTCAAGGCTAGAACTGTCTATTACCTTTAAAATTGACTATCATCACTCCTATATTTGAGAGGGGCACTAAATTAGATCCCAAAAATCATAGGCCCATTGCAGCAAACTCACCTGTTTCAAAAGTATTAGAGGAAATACTTCTTGAACAAATAGTAAATTTCTTTGAAAAACATGAAATTATGGCATCAAATCAATATGGATATCCAAAAAGTAGTTCTACAATAGATGCAATCACACACCTTACAGCCAAGTCTCCGTGCTCTGCACCTCCGCGATGGCGTCCTGGTGGCCTGGATTCTTGCTGGATGGCAGCCGGGACAAGGTGTCTGCTGCATACACCCATAACGATAGGGGCGAGCTGAAGCGTTGGAGTCCTGCACATAATTCGTTGATGGCTTTGCTCGCTAGGATGGTTGTCAGCGGTTTGTGGTCAGTGCGTAGCTCAAACTTAGCTAAAGCGATTAAGTACCATGACAGCTTCTCAAATGCCTAGGTTGATCCGAGTGCTTCCTTCTCGATTTGAGCGTATCTTGTCTCAACGTCTGTCAGGACTCTTGGGCAAAATGCACTGGTTTCCACTCACCACTTTTCTGCTGTTGTTCCAAAACCGCCCTCAAACCATACTTACACTGCAAAGCCGGTGGCAAGTTTACTTGCCACAAATTTGGCAAGCCGTTTTGAATGCCAAAATTTGGCAAGCTTGGCCCGGAAATACTCCCCAGCTTGCCAAAATTTGGCAAGCTTATGAAGATTGCCGACCAAAGCCTGCCAAATTTTGGCATTCAAACCGGCTTGCCAAATTAATGGCAAGTAAACTTGCCACCGGCTTTGCAGTGTAGAGGCGTCTGCTGTCACACGGGTAGGCAGGCGGGAGTCGAACAGGGTCAAGACTGGTGCATTCGGACTAAGCGGAACTGTTACATCCAGATTTTCTTCATATTCGGGATTTCGGAAGGGCATCTTCGTAGATTAAGATCGTGCATAAAAGTTCGTGCCCAAATACATTACTTTTACCTTTAAAACGAAGCATGAAAAATGTAATTTTCAGTAAGAAAAAAGGATTTTGAGGGCATTTTGCACCCAACTTATAACATCAAATTTTATATCATTTGCGAAGTTTTTTGACATGCTGATCACGAAAATGACAACCATTTTGAGCGCCGGCACGGTCATAAAACAGTTTTCCCCATGCCAAAGAGTGTTTGAAGGAATTTTGGGGTCATTTCAGACCTTATTGACAAGGGAAGTGCTTCAGGTGTTAACTTACACCCAGATTTTGATCATATTTTTGGGATCTCTTCTACAACAGACTAATTTTCCGCACAAAAGTTGCTGCTGAGATACATTACAGCAATTTTTGGCCCGTCCCGTTTATTTTTTAAATACATGAGCGGGCCTTAGGCTTCCCTCCCATCTTATTCTGTTAGCAATATGTTAGTAAACTTTTTGGCTGAGCGATAGCGAAGCCCGTTACTCAGGTGGGGTTGGGGTAATTCTTTCCCAAGTCACCCGAGGTCCCGAAATCGATGTCTCCGATTTCGACGAAACTTTGTGGGTGTGTTCCCTATGTAGCAAAGAGCTCCAGAAAAAATTTTCAACTTTTTTGGTCGGCCCAAAAAATTTTAATCACGTATTTTGTAAAAAACACTGAAACCTGCTCTAAAAATTTGTTTGTTGCCTGAGGGCGACCTGCCCGGTGGATTTGTTTTCTTTTCATGGTACTGAAAAAAAGTCCCCGAGAGCCACTTTAAAAGTCACTTGTTCCAGGAGATATGGACCAAAAAATTCGTTTTTCGCGAATACCCAAAAAATGCATCCGAATTTTTTGATGATAATTTTTTTTTTGGAAGGTCCTGTGGTGGTCTATCACCCTTATTGGTTTTGGGTTTGGCCAATGGAAAACCGAATAAAAATTGCGTTTTTTCCGTTTTTTTCGCAGTTTTTGGCCCATAGTATCGCCATTTTAAGTCTGACTTAATGAGCGCCATTAGACTTTTTTTCGCCTTTTTAAGACGAATCGATTGATATAAGTTGAAGTCAAATCGGAGTATTTTGAAAAATCGCCTTTTTTACGCATCTAGATTAGTTGGATCCCGATCGTAAAAAAGGCGATTTTTCAAAATACTCCGATTTGACTTCAACTTATATCAATCGATTCGTCTTGAAAAGGCGAAAAAAAAGTCTAATGGCGCTCATTAAGTCAGACTTAAAATGGCGATACTATGGGCCAAAAACTGCGAAAAAAACGGAAAAAACGTAATTTTTATTCGGTTTTCCATTGGCCAAACCCAAAACCAATAAGGGTGATAGACCACCACAGGACCTTCCTAAAAAAAAATTATCATCAAAAAATTCGGATGCATTTTTTGGGTATTCGCGAAAAACGAATTTTTTGGTCCATATCTCCTGGAACAAGTGACTTTTAAAGTGGCTCTCGGGGACTTTTTTTTTCAGTACCATGAAAAGAAAACAAATCCACCGGGCACACTGTAAATGTCTTACGGTGAAATGCTGCACCAACATATTATGGTGGAGATTTTCTCCATAATACCGACGAAATTCGTCAAAATATCTATAAGGTACAGTGAATTCTCCATGGTATGTTATGAGGTCAGCTGCACCACCATAATATGGAACATTTTCACCATAATATGGAGAATCTTCACTGTACAACATTTAGAGTGCAGGTCGCCCTCAGGCAACAAACAAATTTTTAGTGCAGGTTTCAGTGTTTTTTACAAAATACGTGATTAAAATTTTTTGGGCCGACCAAAAAAGTTGAAAATTTTTTCTGGAGCTCTTTGCTACATAGGGAACACACCCACAAAGTTTCGTCGAAATCGGAGACATCGATTTCGGGACCTCGGGTGACTTGGGAAAGAATTACCCGTTGAAAAGTTTTTCCTGTCTGCGTGTGTGCGTGCGTGCGTGCGTGCGTGCGTGTGTGTCCGCACTACTCCTCCTGAACGGCTCGGCCGATCTCGGTGAGATTTTGCACACTTTTCGGGTATGTCCTTGGCTCAGCACACGCGAAATTGCACCATCCTAGCTCAACTGGTTCAGTTTTTATAGCCAAAAAACACATAAAAAACGGCGAAAAATCGAGTTTTCCGTAGGCAGATCTCTTCTGTCTTAAAAAAAGGGGGGCCTAAAAAGTTCCAAGGGTCAAGATCGTGTTATTTGAAGATGAAGCAAGTCTATCTAGAATGAAGGGGGGTCCAGCCCCCCAGAAAGAAACAAGTTAGAAGTAACCGACGACAGACAAGCCATTGCCTGCCGAAGGCAGGCTAGCGCCGCAGGCCAAGGTAGGTACGCCAGGCGCGGATTGTAGGAACAGGCAGCGAGACATCGCGAAGCCTGTTACGACAAGACGCGGTCTGGCGTAATCCTACCTTGTATCTTATATAAATTGAGTTGACTTCTGCCTTTGGTGTTTGATTGTAATTTATGTTTCCCGCCATTTTTAAATTTGAATGTTAAAGTTTCGCCGGCAACACATATGTTATGAAAACTTATAACCGCCCAAACACTTCTCAAACGCAGGACTAGCATGGCGAGAAAAAAAATGCCTTAACTTTCGGTCTGATTTGAGAAATCGAAGTTACACTAGACGGTTTTCGAGAATTAAGACCCCCCGATTGACAATGTACCGGTCTCGCGCAAAGCCCCCAGCCTTGCCACTAGCGTTGCTGCCCCTGTATACACACATCATTGCCCGCTCGACTAGGCAAAATATGGTAGAGGCTGCTGGCAGAAACGCCAGCTCCAGCCAGCGCGCAGGAGGACGGCCGGGCGGTATGAAAAATTCAGACTGGCGACTAGGCGCCAATGTGCTACTGTGACTTCCACCTCATGTCACAATTGTGGCTAGGCGAAATCGCCTTCTGTCGGTTTACCGTGGGACGTAGCTGTCAATAAAAAATCGAACGACTTCTTTCACATCACCCACGGTAGTCGACAGCACCGGCCATTTCGAGATGGGCGGTTGTCGCGAAGAGGCGTGCTGTGCGGTGCTGGCCGTGGTGCTGTTGGGGTGTGCTGGTGCGCCACCCGCAACTTGGAGCGCAGCTTCCCAGGTAAACGGGACCAGGAGAGCCATGGAGATTGAAGCAGGACACATCCACAGCCTGCTGGAACCGGCCCTGCTGCCCGCCGGCCCGTCGCCGCCCTGCCTGCTCGTCCTAGGCAAGCCGCGATGGCTGGGTTCGTTCCTTCGCATGCAGCAAACGGCAACAGTGCTGATGTTGCCGAGGCCCAATGGTCCGTGGCCTGGCGGGCAGTGGCCAAGCTCCACCGCCAATTACGTTTTTTCAAAGCGAAACTCTCTCATCATTTTGATAGCCGAGGACGAAGCATCTGACCTGACCGCCACGCTGGCGTCTTTGATTCAACCCCTTCGGAGCCGAATACTGCTTTGGACAGCGCTCATGTCAGTCAAGGCACAGAATGACCTGAAAAAAATAGCAGCAGCTTCGGAATGGTTCCGTTTAATGACTATGATGCTGGTGATCGGCGACGCTGAACACGGTGCTACTACTTACTCTGCATCCTTTTCTAACAACAACTTGGACTCTCCCTCATCATGGCAGGCTGAAGCTGTTCCGTTTTTTCCGCCATGCTACTACCTTGGAAACACAAGCGGCATAGTGCACTTCACCGGTACGGGTACAAGCGTATATCACGCCTTGTTGACAACTTACGTAAAGACTATCGTTCAAACGCAGGGAAACGTCCGCTTTGTGGAAAGCACTGTTGACAAATGGAGAGATTGCTTGAGAGAATGCCATTTTGATGTGATCTGCACTAAACACCCGATTCGGATAGCAGATGGAACCATTTATGACATGTTTCCATGGGGCATGAATAGAGTGTTGGTGTTGGTGCCCTCCGGGATGGGAAACGGCAGCTGCCTCGTCGATAGCGTGACCAAAGAATTCACTGCGCCGCTTTGGATCGCGACTGCGTTGTCCCTCCTCGCTGTCGCCACTGGGTTGCTGCTGCTGAGTGGACGCTCGACGGCCTTCCTGGACGCCCTGGCCCCCCTTCTGGGGCAGGGTGCGTCTCTCGTCGGCAGGGACGCGCGTCGCCCGTTGCTGGCCACCTGGCTGCTCGCCTGCGTCGTCCTGTGCGCAGCTTACACGGGGAAACTTTTGTCCCAGCTCTTCAGCAAATGCACAGCCAGCAATATTCAATCACTGGACGAACTTGCGCACACTAATCTTTCTATATTTTTCCAACCCGGCTTGGTTCTTAAACCCGACCCATGGGTACTGCCTGGCGCAGTTGCCGACAGGGCAACCGAAAGCCCGGTGTCGGTGTCAGACAGCATAGGTGCCGTCGCCAACCGAAGCGCTGCACTGTTCTTGACTGAGTCTGCTTTCAGATTTTTCGCATCATACCTGAAATCAGTGACAGACGTGCACACGTTTGCTCTGCCGGTCCAATTTTTGAGTACTGATTTCTTTACCAAGAAGGGATCGCCTGTCGGAAGGGCTTTTGCCATGA